CCCCCCCCCCCCCCAAGAAATAAATCAATTAAATACCACCCTCGTGGATAGCCCACCCCGATACGAAGTTGTTCTCAAGTTCCGCGATCCATTCGATCAGCCCTACGCCTTATAAGGTGTGCAATTCTTCGACTCAAACTTAAGAACGGCACTTTTTTCGCGTCAACACCCACACTTCACTTTACTTCCATCCTACCTACCTACAATCTACCACCACAACCACAACACACATCATACCCCTACGGGGAGAAGAAAATAAAAATGACAAGACTCTACCCCCTCTTCATCCTCCTCTTCGTGCTGCTCATCCTGGGCACAATTTTCTACATCACCTACTCCATCATTCAAGACGTGAAGCGCAATACCCGATCTAAAATGGAGAAGAAGAATGTCACCTTCTCTCGTGATGGAGTTACCGTCGGTGTGAAGGAGTTGAAGGATGAGGATTATTTGGATCGGAGTCAGAGGTACTTCCTTCCCCCCCCCCACCTTCTTCCATTTGTTTTGTTGTGTGAGCATAGGCTAATTCATCTGGTGGCTGTGTAGTATTCTGGTTAACATGTGGAATCACACTTCCTTCCCTGCGTACAAGAGTCGACTGTGGGATATGACGAAGCCGACGAATTGGAATGAGAATGCCGCTGGGGCGAGTGATGAGGGGTTGAGGGGGCGGTTTTGGAGTGCGGCGGGGAGGGTCGGTGAGTGGGCTGGATATCATGATCAGGGTCAGGAGGGGGAGAAGAAGAAGGGGCAATGAGATGGATTAAACTGTGGTGGGTTTAAATAATACTGGGGATTGGAGTTATGTGTTGGTTTGGGTTTCCTTCTGCATGGGGTGCGGGTGGTATGCTATGCTGTACACGCTGGCTTTGCATTCATTATTAGCTATGCATTATGCTGGCTATCTCTTTTTCTTCTTCTCTTTTGCTGACGAGATACATGAATCAACGAACCACCATTGACTCGAATTGAAATCAACTTTGCGTAGTTGCAGTCATCATAATGTTAGTCACATCTTATCCGTCTCCTCATCATCATCATGAGTTTAATCTAGGTTCTCGTAATAGTCGTAATTCTGGTTCAGCTTGTAATAGGGATCCGGCTTCGGCTCCCAGCTGCTGCCGTACCAGGTCGGCGTCGTCAACTTCTCCGGTGTGTCGTCGCGCTTCTCGCTCGAGAAGATGTATTCGAACGTCTTGGCCCATTGCACGCGGTTGTTCAGTCCCTCTAGACCCCACAGTTCCTGAAGGAAGTGCAGGAAGGAGGTGTGCGTGTAGGCCGAGTTGTTGGCATACATGGTGCCCTGGTCGTGGATCAAATGGTTCGCCGGAATGTAGGGCGAGATGATGAACGAGGGCACACTATGCCGTTAGCTTCAAGTCAGATACCTTATGGCGGGATACTCACCGAACACCGAGACGGGTAAAGTCGTAGGTTACATTGTGGCCGTCAGACATGCCGGTGAAGGTGATGCCGTCCTCGGGCTGGGGAACATTGATCGGCGTGGGAACGTGATCAGCAAAACCACCGTGCTCGTCAAAGTTGAGGATGATCAGACTAATAGGTCAGCTTTCTTAGCTCAAAGTAACTTCTGTAGACACTTACACATTGTCCCAGTACTTGGACTTGCGCACTGCGTCGTACAGATGCTTGATCAGCTGCTCACCCGAGGCCATGTTGCTGGTCGGGTGCATCGAGTCAATGGTGCAGCACTCGGGGTTATAGTAGGAGAACTGGGGCAGCGTTCCCTCCTCGAGATCGCGGTAGAACTGGTCCGAGTGGACCAGACGGTCCATGGCGTTGTCTTGCACCCACTGTTCCTAATTAGAATCATACTGACATAGAAATCTGGCACACTCACCTTGTACATGTAGGCATCGACAATGTCCGTCTCATAATACTGTGTCACTTAGCCATCGTTCCGTTTTTAACAAATGTACCGCGTCGCTTACGTTCTTCCAGGTAATGTTCTTGTTGCTGAGGGCCTCGAAGATCGAGGTCGCACAAGTCGTACCGGTGTAGTTGGCATACCAGCCGGCAGCCTGGTAGGTATTGTCAACGAAACCACAGGTCGAGCCCGAAGTAGCAAACTGGCGGTTGGTGTTGGTCGGTCCAGGGTGTTCGGCGAACTGTCTGATCAGCATGCGCTCATCTCCAATACAATACCGCAACTCACGTAGCTATCCCAGAAGGCAAAGTTCTTCGCAACCTCAATCAGAGTTGCCGTCTTCTTCTCATCATAGGCTTTGATGACGAAGCTGGACTCGCCGGGGCTGGATGCGTATTTCTCCGACTGGCGCTCAATAAACCCGCCCATGTTGGGAACATCGTCCTTAGTGGGCTGCCACTTGCGGAAGATCTCATAGGAGGTACCGGCGAAGTTATGGTCCGGGTCGGTCAATGGCACCTCGGTTTCGAAGGGCGCGGCGCAGATGTTGAGAGGTTCGTCCCAGACCGTCCAATTGGGATTGGTGTACTCGTTGCAGTAGGAGATGTTGCGCAAGTTGTCGATGTCGGGATGAAAGTCCCAGTAACCCGCGATGTTGTCGAACGAGTGGTTCTCCATCATCAAGTAGATGACATGTTTGATCTGTCCACGTCAGTGGCACTATCGTTATTCAACAGACTGCTGCACTTACGTTGGAGCGAATGTGATCCCATTGTTCGACATTACGCCTGTGAGGGAGAGCGGAGGCCACAGTGGCCAGGGCCGAGATAGCAGCCACGTTCAGCTTCATGTTGATTACTGCTCCGCAACCACTTTTGCTGAGAGACCTCTGAACTTCAGAATCTAGCCTCACCGACACCGGGGCTGACCGGTGGGATATTTATCTTTCCTGCCTCGCATGATGAAGGACGCATCCGGGCCAGGTCGGATGCGCGAAGGCCTCCTTCGACGCATGGGGGGATCCACCACGGCAGACATCTTGCGTTCACTAGCCAGCTAGAAGCCAAAGAATATGTCGCGATGCTCCGTAACTGCCAACCACGGTCCAATGGCACGCGAGATGGCCCATCCCACGTGGTAGGCAGACGGGCTGCTCGCGTGAGTCTTTTGTTGCGAGCAAGGCAACACAAGGACATGCCACCTTTCGGATGTACTCCGCAGTGGGCTGAGGGGAAAGAAATTGGAGCAACGAGCACAATCCGGACTGGACAGCCGCGGAGGATAGTTGATCAGCTGCTGGAATGATTGGTCATGAAGCAGTAGGACGGAGATAGCTGCGTCGATTAAGCCGAAATAGGGAGGTGAAAAGCGTCTCCGCTCACGCGAAGGACTGCCCGGAGAGGAGAGAAGGAGGTTGAAATCAGTGAAATCGGTGAAATCGGCGTCCTCCGGTGCATGCGATAGCAGACGATAGTAGACGATAGTGGATGCAAGCGGTGCATCGTGCTTCAGCCGTGCTTCTCGATTGCAGTTCAACCTGGCCGGCCGACTAATCGGGGCTGGACCGGACAGCCGATTGTACTAGTCAGCCAGTAGAAGTGGAGTGTGATAGGGACAAAGAGTGCTGTATTAGGAAATAGACATTTCTGATTGGGCCGTCACTCTCATCGGCGGAGACACCCATAGTACCACTAAGCTCAAACAGGCAAGGACGCCTTCCCTAACCGGCCCAAGCTTCAGGGACTCCGCAGTAAAGTGGATCCCAGATTGCAGTATCCCGCTGGCCCCAACCAATCAGAGGCCCACGTGCCGCATTCGCGCACCCCCGCGACTGCAGATGACTGCGAAGCCATCAGGCACGTTGTCGGTCAGCTTCTCTCCATAGGCAGATGATAAGCCTGGCTGGCTATCACCGGAGCACGAGATGCATCCTGGAGGGGGTCGCTTCAAGGCGCTTTTCCCGTCCTTTTCCTTGTCGCTCTTCCTCGGTGCATGCAGCTCATTCATATGTAGTACCCGACGCTCCCGTAGACCGACTGAATAATTATAATCACTAAAAACTTTCCTGAGCCTGAGATCATGCTGATGTTGCTACTGTGATTTGCTCGTCGCCCTCCATAGGTCAATTGCTGCTCCGATCCAGCTGTTCTGAAATCTACTACTTCTTCAACCCAGCAATCGTCCTCTTCAGCAGAAATCTCCCGATTTTCAGGCTAGTCTTCCTGCTGCTTATTTAGTCTGGTTACCACTGTGAGACCTGCCAGCCCAGCAGCGAAGTTTTCTCTTCCATCTTTCTCCTCAATCTTGGTTGAAACAGCATCCCAATTCCCGTCATAATGTCGATCTCTTCTCTTCGAGGCCTTCTTACCAACTACTCCCCCGTTTCAGAGGAATTCACTCAACCCGATCTGGAAAAGGAGTTGCATGTTTCCCTTCGAAATGGCGACGACAGCGAGTCCTCCTCATCCCGGTCAGTCTGCCGGGAAAAAGCGGAGAAGAAGGAGTCCAAAATCGTTGACGGACGTATCGTCTCCGACGCTATCATCGGTCTCTCCGACGGCATGACGGTTCCATTTGCCCTGACCGCAGGCTTATCTGCTCTGGGAGACACCAAAGTCGTGGTTTTTGGCGGCATGGCCGAACTCATTGCAGGAGCCATCTCCATGGGCTTGGGAGGCTACTTGGGTGCAAAGAGCGAAGAGTGAGTGGTTTTCAAACTTCCCCAAGTATACAAAATTAGCAAAAGAAATATGCTGACCAGTTTTAGGGAGTCCTACCGCGCAACCCTGAAGGAAACAAAGCAAGAGATTCTAACCGACCCCGCATCGGTGACTGAGACGATCTCGGATGTCTTTGCGCCCTATGACCTCCCCGCAGAGCTGGTGGGAGAGCTCACGCGACACCTCTCCTCATCCCCTAACCTCCCCTCCTTCCTCATGAACTTCCATCACACCGTCCAGGAACCCTCTGGCTCTCGTGCCTTTATCTGCGCCTTGACCATTGCATTGGGATACTTCATCGGTGGCTTCGTGCCGCTCCTCCCCTACTTCTTCGTTGGTCCTCATGATGTACTCTCTGCCCTGCGCTGGTCAATCGCCACGATGGCCGTTGCTTTGTTCTTGTTCGGTTACGGCAAGACATGCTTCGTCAGCGGATGGAAAGGATATCGGAACATCAGACGCGGTGTCATTGGCGGCTTACAGATGGTTCTAGTCGGAGGCGTTGCAGCAGGCTCTGCAATGGGGCTGGTGAAGGGGTTCCAGATGCTGGCTGACTCTCATAGTCATGAGCATTAGCCGAGCATGGGAGACAGTTCGATTTAAAAGATTGATTCTTATGGATGGCGTTTCTGGCGGGACGACAAGAGCTCAAAATGATATCATCTTCGGCGTTGTTGGGTCATTGATTTGGAACATGTACATAGACCTAGTAAATCACAGGTTGAGTTTAGTTAAGCTGATAGCATATCGAATATGTTAAATAAAACATTACCCCACATAATCACTGGAGCAAATCCTCCTAGAGTAATTAGCTCTGCAAACGTTGTCCCAAAGCCTTAAGGCATCCACCAACCATCCACTACAACCTCAGGCAAGCACTTCTCCTCCCTCTAACCTGGGGCAACATAAACCCCGGGCAGCCATCACCACACCTCTTACTACTAGTTCATGCTCGATCAACTAACATTCCAAAAATACCTCCATCGCATACTATTAGGTATTCATTCTTTCCGATACTCCCCAATACTGAATACATACATACTCTACAACATCAATACCAAATATACCTACTACAACTAGGCACCACCCATACAATTCTTCTCCAACAACGATCTGATACTATATATAAGTACTATACATACAGTAGTCACTTATATCCCCAAATATAGATCCATCACTGCAACTAGCAAGCGAGCAAACAAGCAAACAGACAAAGCAAACAATGCCACCTAAATTAGTACTACATAGTAGCACCTAGTAGCACCTCCCCAACCAGTGGCAGTGACACTGGTAGTAGTAAGTAGTAGTGGCTGTGCCTGCATTCCCTAGATCCAAGCAGGTCGACGGCATTATCCACCCGTTCATCCATCCAGTCATCTACTCCGTACCTTGATCTGCACTGCATAGCCCAGCCAGGCTGGCAGGCTGACTGATTAACCACCAACCGACTCCAACAAATCACTATTTTTCTAGAAAAGTATAACCGTAAAAAAAGAAAAACAAATAAAGGCTAAAAGCCGGTAAGGCTCGCGGGAGGTGGGTGGGTGCACTGGCATGCCATTGCTCGTCGATCGATTGGGCTGAAACAGCATGCCGGTTCTCAACTGCCCCCCCTGCCAGCCACACCTTTGGCGCTTGATTTCTCCCCGGTGAGAAGTCAGAAGCATTCCATCTACGATTCCTTCAGGATTAGGTATGTTTCACAGGTTGTAAGGGGGGGAATGAGGGGAGCATGGCTTTGAGCCGCATTGCGGAGTTATGAATTTAGTAGTAGTATTCTAGGTTGTACAACTGGGACCAACTCTGTGGTACTTGTACCTGGGATGGCTTAGATAGAATGTTACCAATCGCAAGTGTTGAGAATGGAGAGATGCCTTGAGTGACAGGAGATCATTTTCGCTTTTGATTGTGAGTGGGTAAGTAATCCATCAGGCTGTTACAGTGCACTGCAGTCAGTTTGCAAGGCAGTGCTGGTGTTAGATTTGTGTCGTGATTGGCTTGCTAAGTATACTTTACTACTTATGTATGTACTGTGATACTAGATGGAGTTACCTACCTTAGTAGTGTAGATCTTCCGGGGTGAGAGAATCAACTACTCCGTAGCAGTCTAGAATATACATCGTATACTTCGCTGCGTATTCTGTAATCTATCCATCCATTTAGGAAAGCGATACCCGACTGGCGGGCCAGTATACACCCTGGAGGCGATCCAAGAGTTAATTTGACCACCGGGCGAGTGGCATGCGGGCAGATACTCAAATGATTTAAACAACGAACATCATGGCGGAACGGGCATGCGGCATGACCTCATTGCCCGGACCACCCTGCAGATGAGATGGCTGTCTGATTCGTACCCATCGATGGCACGAGCAAAAGAAGAAAAACAACTTGACCATCAGGTGATGCTATGGGGCTGGGCTTCCTGCAGCTGCCGACCGGGCGGCGGTCAATGAAAAACCCCATCATGAGTTTAGCTGTGAAAGTAAAGAAAGAAAGGAAGTTATGCTTGTATTGTTGTATGTATGTAAAATGGGGTATGTATGTATCCTTACTTGCACTAAGTGATGCAAGGCTCGCTCACTCACTCACTCACTCACTGCTCGTTCCTGATGTCAGATCAATATCCATCAATAATGTGGGAGACGTTCGAGAAGCTCGGATCACAGTTGCAAGAAAGAAAAGAAAAACCAGATTTCGAGTCGATTGTGGCTGATGGGCTTGAACTCCGCCCACGGTTGTCTCGGCTTTTCATGATGTACTATGATGTATACGACGTTGAACCCCATGTTTTTCTGCCCTCCGAACGGAACCGAATGTCCATGATGCAACATGAAGAAGCGGGGACACCCCTTCTTGCTTTCTACGAGACATGGAAGGGTGGCTGCTGTCAGTATCCTCCAACTTCTTGTATATTCTGCCCCCTATGCATCCCTGACGTTGAATACTCCCGACCCGAATCTGAAGTAGTGATGATGATGATGATCTGGTCCAAGCCACGGCTCGGCGTCGGGCGGTGGTCGCGTTGTGTTGGCCCAAGCTTATGCCGATCCACTCACGGCCAGGCAACCGTCAACCCTCAGCCATCATGAAAGTCCGAATACGAGCTTGCTTTCGAGAAATATCCCTGGATTTAGGGGAGGGAGAGAGAAAAAGGGTTTTGTTTCAATATCGGACCCTTTTCTGATAATTAATTTGTAAGAATAGATGAGACACGTTCACTGCCCCCTCTAAGTATTGTACTATTGTTCTCGCATCCCTTTCTGATTCGCAAGGTATACCTCCATACTGGGGTTGCTTGCTGCCTATGCGGCTGGAATTAGGACTGCGGCATTCCTTCGTCCTTTAATCTTAGCTCTCCATTCATCCCAGCAACGAATCTATCAAGTTAACTATCGAAAGCACTGCCCGCTGTGATACGTAAGAAGAAGCTGTGCTCTCTAAGCCTCCAAAAAGGAAGTTGGATCCATATGCCCTCGTAAAGTGTTCCTAATGTATCTATCTTGTTACCGCAATAATCACCTGACGCTGAATCAGCGGAATTTCAACGATGCAAGAGTAACATACTGAGGTAACGAAGTAATTAACGCGGCCACGACCACGATGGAGATTGTCATCAAAAGTAAATTGGGGCCAAAACTACCCATGACGCCGCATTCTGAAACCATAACCCTCATTGAGCGCTGTGCTCCCCCAACGCGGTATATTACTATATCTTACTTTGACACAGATAGACAACTCAATAATGAAGCTGGCAGTAATCACCATAGTTGAAGTGAAGCGCCGCCCCCCGCTTCATCACGATGGATGCAGTAATCTGCCGTGTGCCATGGTCAGCTGCCACTTAGATCCCCAGACTTCCAACTAACTACTGCAGAGAGTTTCACACCAAAAAAAGCCTACCAGTGAGTTGATGTCTTTTCTCTCTTTTTTACTCGGATGTGAACTGATCATCTCTGTCCGGCGCGGCTTGCCGTGATCTTCCCACCCATCTCGAGGAATCCCAACTATGGTATGGAGCCCGCGTACCATACGTATGGTATGCCAACAATACCATACCAGACGGTAATGAATGGCCCGGCGCTTCCAGCTTTCTCACTCGTGTGCCCAATACGCATAATTCCCTACTAGACTGCTGCTTAGACTCCCATAGACTTGCACATCATTGCCTATCCTTGACCCTGAAAATGTCATGTCCCCTATAACTAAATAGTTTAGTGAGTTAGTTAGCTAGAACACGGAGGTTTAATTATTCATCGCCTGTGTCTGTGTCCCTTGGGCTAACACCTTAGACATTAGGTAACTATGGAGTAAAGTCACTGTCTACTATGTAGGTGGTAATTTAGCGGATGACGGAGGGGGAGGCGCATGCGTGGTCCCTTTCATCAACGCGCTCTTTTTTCTTACAGCAGCAGCAGTGCGTGCCTCGAGAGCGTTAGATCGGGCATATGACAGGCGCAGGCTGTTTCGTGTTAAAAGAAAGATGGCTGGTTGGGAGACTAGCCTTGTTAGACTTTTGTGCAGGACGGAGGGGGTGCGCCAGTGGACAATCCCTCAACAAAAAGCAGCTGTTGGCTGATCACTGTATAGCTAGTCGAGATAGCAAATATCAGGCCGGGCTGGGCACGCGGCTATCGTCCGAGCTGCTTGACCCAGTCATGGGTGGTACGGTCATGTCTATCCGTCTGAGCTCCATAGCCGCTAGCTACTCTGTTTGGACAAAGGTCCAAATTCGAATTTTCCAGTCTTTGAGCCCAGACTATGGAGACTGTGTATATGAAGCAGCGGGATCCGGAAGTTTAGATCACCGATTGAGATCCGGGGGAGGAAAAGTCTTTGCCAACATCCGGTTGCTCCCTCTGGATTAGTTTTACACGGCAGTTCCGGCACATGGACTCCGTATAAGCCTTGCCAGCCAGCTAGCTAGACAGGTACAAAAACCCACACCAGCAACATAGCATCGTGTCGATGCCGGGTCCGATCGTGCCTAGCTTCCGCAGGGTAAGAGGGAGGAGATTTGATAATGCGCATAATGCGCAGGATGATATTGTGACCAACCAGACTATTCAGGGACAGCGGGTCTTGGCTGCAGGGTAATCGGCGATTTCTTTGGTCGGATGCTGCTGACTGTGAGACCGTTGTGGGTTAAGCGAAATTGGTTCTGGAGATCCACTGCTTCCAATTGGCTGCGGATGGCTGGCGGGTGGAGCCCCCAAGACCAATCATCAGGGGCAGTCCGGAATCCCATGAAATGAGCATCCGGGAGTTTTGCTGGGATGAACTGAATTGGGCGTCTCGCTGAGAGATGGTTGATTATTATTGTTTATTTGGATTTTGAGGTTGCTTATTCCATTTCCCTCGAGACTCTTTCCCCCCCCTCTTCACATTAATGAAGTGATGTGTCAGATTCATTTGAACTTGCTTTTCAGCATCGAGCCTGTCTCATAGGTCATTCCCTTGCGGAGAAGGTTAATGTCTGTTTCTCTGGCTGCTGCTCGGTGTCAGCCAAAATCCGTAGTAACTAGCCTGCATGTTCCGTAGTATATCCCGACTTCTCCGAAAGCTGCGGTTTGGATCCGTTTACATTATGCCTTGCCAGGCAGGACAAAGCAAGGCTTATGCTTGTTTGTACCCATCTCTCCATTTTAGCCTCACCCGCAGTTCGGTTGTTGCGGACTCCGTTGCCCGACCATGAAGAAAATTTCTGCAATATGGAAAGGTTGGACCTTGGTTCTCTCAGGCACCTCGGATCTGCCTGTCCAGCGCACCGAGGCACCGCCGATGCGAGCTAGAGCCAACAGGGGAAGGCCTCCTTTTTCCCATTCCCAAAGCGGGCTAGTGGCTTTACCCGGACGACCCTGATTAGGGATAGCAGTGACGACATGATACGGGGCCAAACCGGTAATACGAGTACGACTTCCCAGTCAGGCCCCGTAAGCCCCCGTACCCGTCGCTGTCCGCCCCGTCGTCTGTCTTGCTGATCGAGAACCTGCAAAATCCTCATATCCCATCCATTGTTCCCTCTTCTCTTCCTTTTCTCTTCCGTTTTCTCTTTTCTTTTCCCTCCATTCCTCCCGCCTATACTTCCGCTCCTCCTCCTCTTTCTCCAATCTCTCTTCCTTCCTCGACCCTCCGGCTCCGTGGCCATTTGCGCCCCTCGCAAAACGTCTCCCTCGTTCTTGGTTTCCTCTCTCGCCCTTACTGTCCGCCTTGCGTCAGAGTAACCCTTGCAACGTGACCATCCCCGAATATCCTCGTTTGGCCGCTGGAGACCGGAGCCTGCGCTTCCACTTCATTACTGGATCCCTCCGATCTGGTATTTCTCCGCCTTCACCAAACGCCTGTCGGGCCTTGAGCCAGCCAGCGATCGAAACGTTTTTGTTCCAGACGCCGCCCCTTTCAGCTTCTGTCACGTTGACGCCCAGAATCCCCCTTTCCGCCGACTCCGCCGGGCGCTTCCTTTGATATTCTCGAGCCCCAATTCTGGCGACATTCTTCCCTTCATCTACGCCTAAAGTGCTGGGTTTTCTGAGTATCGAAGAGTCCACGGGGGTCCCAACGTGACTAGCCGCCGAGATGAATTCCACCCTTCCTTCTTGGAAGGATCGCACGCAGAATCAGTTCGGCAAGCTTCAGATCCAGGTACCATGGCGGTCGATCCAGCTCCTCGTCCCGCATCGCATGCGACGGAAGATTCGCTCCAAGCTTCGCAGCAGGCTCTCTCCAACATCTTCGATATCGTCTCTGCAAACGTCCTTTTCGCCTATGGATACGCTCCGATCACTCCAAAGCCATCGTTGGACGTTGTATGACTTTCAATACTTGCTCCTGCTGATCCTCCTGATCTTCTCCCTCAGTGTGATGGGATCTCCTGGGCCTTTGGGGAAGACGGCAATGTTTACCCTACTTCTCCTTTCTCTCCTGCTCCCGATTACTCGCCAATTTTTCTTGCCGTTCCTTCCAATTGCGGGGTGGCTCATCTTCTTCTACGCCTGCCAGTAAGTGAACCACCCTCTCAGATCGCAGTCTGCTCGATTTCGAGAGAACTTTGGGAACTGACGCTTTTTGAATCAGATTCGTTCCAAGCGATTGGCGCCCGGCAATCTGGGTCCGCGTGCTTCCGGCCCTAGAAAACATCCTCTACGGAGCGAACATCAGCAACATTCTGTCTGCTCATCAGAACGTTGTCTTGGACGTGCTGGCGTGGCTGCCTTATGGCATCTGTCACTATGGCGCGCCATTTGTCTGCTCCCTCATCATGTTCATTTTCGGTCCTCCCGGCACGACTCCCCTCTTTGCACGGACTTTCGGTTACATCAGCATGACTGCTGTCGCCATCCAGCTGTTTTTCCCCTGCTCGCCTCCGTGGTACGAGAACCTTTACGGGCTGGCACCGGCCGACTACTCCATGCCGGGTAACCCCGCGGGTCTTGCTCGCATCGACAAGCTTTTCGGCATCGACCTGTACACCTCGGGCTTCAGACAGTCCCCTGTCGTGTTTGGTGCTTTCCCCTCTCTGCACGCTGCGGATTCGACACTGGCCGCTTTGTTCATGAGCCATGTTTTCCCGCGGCTGAAGCCCTTGTTCGTCACTTACACCCTGTGGATGTGGTGGGCAACCATGTACCTGTCGCACCACTATGCAGTGGATCTGGTCGGTGGTGGCCTCCTGGCCACGGTTGCATTCTACTTCGCCAAGACCCGATTCCTCCCGCGCGTCCAGAGCGACAAGACTTTCCGCTGGGACTACGACTATGTGGAGATCGGAGACTCTGCTCGCGAATATGGCTACGACTTGGCAGCCTACGACGGCGACTTCAACCTTGACAGCGATGAGTGGACGGTTGGATCATCATCCTCCATCTCTTCCGGCTCTCTGAGCCCGGTGGACGATCACTACACCTGGGAAGGAGAGTCTTTGGCTTCGCCCATTGCCGATGTCGAGTCTGGAAGACATGTGCTCAGTGCCTAAGCCAGTCGACCACCATTTTGCACCCACCTCCCTGCATATACAGCATCCACTTCTTGCATCTATTTACGAACGGCGTTAGTACATTTGACGACATGCTGGGTTTATTGCATTGAGCCGATTTCGACACTTAATATCTTTAATACCGCTTTTTTATTTCGCAGACCAGGTCGGATGGTTTCGATTTTCCGTTTTGGATTGGTCACCCTGGATACTGCCATGTTTTATCTCTTCCTCTTGACCTAACTGTACATCATACCGCACACTTTTCTGGGCTGCGTTGCCGCATGATTCTGCAGCCCGACCTCCTCGAAGCTCCGTCGATAATACTAATACCGAATGCTCAGGGTTGCACAGCACCGCGTCCCATCTGGTCGTGCAACTCCTGATGCCCCGTTGGAGACATTCGCTTTCTGCATCTCGCCTGGACGAATCCGGACGACCACACTCGTTTACATCCTACTTTAGTCTTTCGCTTTTCACCAGCTGGTCGAGCTTTTTACCTTCATCTTTTTTTGCTCGGCCAGGTACATATTTTATCTTCGTGTCGATCGCTCACACCACTGGCGCCTGGGATTGGGAACTCAATGAAGAAAAAGTTGATTGAGGCGCCCAACTTGCTTGCACCTCATTCGCTGTGCTTTCAAGGGATTCAATGCTTTTTTATTTTAATGACCATTGCATTGGCATATAGACAGAGGGGTTATGATGAACCTTTGTATTACGGTCTCTTCTGCGCACCGGAGACCTTTATTGTTTGTTATACGGAGGGCCGTGCTCAAACAGGCTGCTCATTCTCCAAAAAGAGGAACGAAGCCGAAAGGAAGCCCCAAGCACGCCCCCACGAGGAAGGGGACGCGGGAATATAGATGTTGACGGAGGCATCTTTCCCGAACAACACGTGTGCCTGAATTTTGTTGATTCGCTTTGCTATGGAAACACGTCACCCACACTGTCACACTCTACATCCTCTAAACCCGTCCTCACGGGACTACCTTTCGGACCGGACTTGATTCTATTTCTTGTTTCCTTCCTAGGTTGTGTGGTTCTTCTGGTATCAACCGGTGCAAGAGAACCATTTTTTTACCCTACCGCCTGCTCGCTCCTATAGCCTAATTCTTAATCAGTCGCGGCTGTGTGTGACGGGTTGGGGGAAGGGGTGTTTGATTGGATGGATGAGAGTATCCACTAGCAGAACCTATTCTTAATTATAATCAGGTAGCGTTATGATTTATGAATGTTGTATCATATATGTTTTATTCTATTTCCTCTTTTCTGTTGTATACATTTTTTGTCTCTAGGAACTTCTTGAATGACTACTACTATGCTCCTATTGGAAGTATTTGCGTTTTCTTCAGTCTAGCCATATGTAGCTTAGAAGTAAATTACTATATTAATACCATGTTAGTCTTGTGATAAAGATAGATATGAGATCAGATCACATGCAAATTCAGTCAAGTACCCCATAACTGACTACAACATAGTTGTTCCCACTATCCATCCTTCCACCCATCAAACCTCCCCAACGTGACAAATAACAAGCCCCAACGACGAGAATAATGATACATGACCATCATAGGATTCACAAATCTATTATGATGAACCTAAATATACCACCCACCACCATCTCACGCATAAATTAGGTAGTATGTACAGATAGTACTCCTCAATAAGAAAAGAAGAAAATAAAACGCCCTCTACTCACATTACAATACATCTATCTCGTCCATTCATCATCAAAAACCTGTACCCGATCAGCATACTCCTAAATCCGCGAGACAAACGTCTCTTCGATCTGGTCTCCTTGGCCGCCTGCTACGCGAAGAATGAGGTCGTTAAGGGATGCGCGGCCGAGAATGTCGACGTGGTCGCCTATACTCTTATCAGATTGATTCTTCCGAAGGTTGAAGGGAAATGCTAAGGGGATAGGGGCATACCTGTGTTCGGACCACCACGGGGCGAGAAACGATCCGGTTCATGTGGCATCTCAAAGACCTTGACCTGCACTCCAGCAGGATTGTATCGTTTCATGCGCCAGCCCTTGGCGCACATGTAGCCCGTGCTCAGGAGGTTAACGGTGCCGTCACCCTCGCCCATGAGGACGCCGTGGTCGACGCCGTCGTTGTTAGTTACTGTCGTGTCGATGCTGACGTTCAGGTTGACGAGCGGGTCGCGTTCTTCCTGGTAGTAGTAGCTCCGCTCGGTGGGTTTTCCAACGCCGTAGAAGCAGTAGATTTTGAGGTCCGGGGCGAGCGGAAGCCGAGCTTCAAGGGGGTTGAGCCATGTGCGGGGGTTGTTTTCGTTTTCTTCGACCTCGCGGGCTGTGTGAGCCACGCCGTGCGAGTAGCTGCTTAGCACTTGATTGCGGTACCAGGTCTCGGATTCGTCGAAGAGGTAGTTGAGACTTTCGGCGACGGTCATGTTCTTGCTGCTGTGGGAGGAGTTGGTTTCGCGGAAGTTGAGCACGGTGCCGAAGGACTGGGACTGGTTGGGTTGGTCGTCCGGGGCCCAGGTTGCGTTGCCCCAGACGGCTTCGCCGCCCTTGGGAAGCATGCTGCTGATGCCGGGCATGGCGCGGAAGATTTCGGCGCGTTCTTCCTTGGAGAGGAATTTTTCGAGGCCGTAGACGGCGAAGGCGTTGAGTTGGGCGGTGTCGCGCATTTCGCCGGAGAGGACGGCCGTGAGGCCCTTCACGGCTCCCAGCATGCATCCGCTGATGTTGATCCAGTTTGCGATGTGGTTGTTGACCCAGTCGCGGCCGCCGGCGCCGTGGTCCGGGTGCTCGACCCATTTAAGGAAGTACAGGACCACCTGTGAGCCCATGCTGTGTGACGCGAGGGTGACTTTTTCGCCGCCAACGAGAACGGCGGTCTCGATATAGGATTTCAGTCGGCTGAAGTACTGGTCACGGCGCTCGAGGTTGGGATACGAGAGACGCCAGTCGTAGGCGGCGGTGAAGGCGTTGGTCGGGTCGTAGCCGATGGTTGCGAGGTTCTCAAGGATCTTGTTCCAGATCCAGTAGCCGGTGATGAAGAAGTCGGTGGCATCGAAGCCCTGCGCAGCGCGGAGCTTGATGCCGGGGGGATCCAGGCCGGTTTCCTTATCTAGCATGATGTGGTTCTTCCATTCGGTCTTGTCGAGGACTAGCGCGCGCATCATGCTCCAACTACCCCAGAGTCTGCGACGGAAGTACTGGCGGGAGTTTGCGTCGGTGCCCCAGCTCTCGAGACCGGTCGAGATGACGCCGGGGATCATGACAACGGGGTGTTTAGCGTGGACGCCTTCGGCTTGGAGCTGCAGACCGACGGAGAAGGAGTCATAGTTGACGGTGTCGCGTTCATGTTGCTGCGCGGATTGTCAGTATACGGTGTGTCCTATTGATATAGTCAAGTCGTTTGACAAGGAATTGGGTCGTACCGTGAACTCCTTGACATCTGAGAGCAATCCCTGAGGCATAACATCCATCAACGACTCCAGGTTCAGATCCATTATGCTGTCCAGACTGATCACATCCTGCTGGTTGGCGAAGAGCACGGCCACGAGGACTCCAAAGAGGCCACCCAGAACGAAGATGAGACCATTGCGCCGTTTACTCCGGGGTTTGGTAACGAATGACTCGGCTTTGGGTTTCTGAGGCGCCGACGAATTCGAGTCGGGGATGTCGCGGGAGTCGGACGGGGACGGTGATGCGGACACACCGTCCTTGTCCTTGGCCACACGACGGCGGAGCATACTGCACTTAGACGACGTAAATCATGTAAGGAGCTGGGAAAGCAAGTAGAAAAGACCAGAGGGAGTCCAAGTTCAAGTAAAATAAGAAAGAAAGGGAAAAAAAGAAGGTTTGAGCCAAAAATAACCGAGTTTGGCATGGAGAAACCGAAACCGTCCCAATTCAGGCACCGCCGGAAAATCACATGTGCGGGACGTCATCACTTCTTTTTATTCTCGGCTTCCATTTCTCGTTTGATTAATGACATTCCTGCTCTCTCCCTGTCAAACTTCGTTCTCTCCACAATGACTTCCAATCCTTCTACTACAGATACCACCACTCCTACTTCAACAAATAATACCACCACCCCCCTCCGCTACATCCGCTACAATGCCGCCCACGAAGACACCTACGTCCCCGCCATGCGCCAATTAATCTCCAAAGACCTGTCCGAACCCTACAGTATCTACGTCTACCGATACTTCCTCTACCAATGGGGTGATCTCTGCTTCATGGCCATGGACGACAACAACTCCGAGCTCCAATCCTCGTCGCCAATGGTCGGCGTCGTCGTGAGCAAACTGGAGCCGCATCGCGGTGGCCCCTTACGCGGATACATCGCTATGCTAGCCGTGCGCGAGGAGTATCGAGGCCAGGGGATAGCGACAAAGCTGGCTCGAATGGCGATTGATGCTATGGTGGAGAGAGGGGCGGATGAGGTATACCCCTACCCCAAGTTCCCCTTGGCCTTTGATCGTGTGGATATGCATGTGCACGTCCCGCTAACGATCTATTGATTGCAGATCGTGCTCGAAACTGAAACCACCAACACCGCCGCGATAAAACTTTACGAGCGGCTCGGGTTCCTGCGAAGTAAACGCCTGCATCGGTACTACTTGAATGGAAATTCGGCGTATCGGCTCGTGCTGTACTTGAAGGAAGGGGTTGGGTCGATGCGGACGAACATGGATCCATACGCTCAGCAAACAGGGCCACCTTATCCCTTGATTGAGGATAGAACGGACACGGTGGTGACGGCACCGGAGCCGGCGTTGTTGCATGAGAATGGGAAGTGGTAGAGCTTTATCTACCTTACATCCCTTTTGGACACCTTTCCCCCCCTTCTTGGATGGATGTAAATGACTGTAATGACTATGCTATGCTATGTTATGCTATGATGAAGATATGTATGTGGAATTGTTGGTCTGGTTTGGTCTGCTTGCATTGCATTGCATGTGTGCGGGGTTAGGTCGTGGATTATTATAGATACAATCTATTGCTGTTAGGATTCTATATGGTGGGGTGGTTCCAGGTCTATGTACAAAGTGTTATGTGATGTGATGTGAGGTGGACGGGAGTGAGGGCATAATGTACAAGATGTGTATATATAACAGGGCCATGGTGAAGCCACAATCGAGCAAATAACAAGAGAGACAGATCAAGCCGGATACATCGACTTCCGCACCGGCACGCGAATGGCATTCTGGACCAGCCAGTGTACCGGCCGCGGCACCTTCCGCCACTCCTGATCCAAGACCGAGGCTGCCTCCAACATAATTAACAACGGAAACTGCGGGCGATGCCAGGAACCGATCTCGATATCATGCTGCGTGAGCGCAGAGGCCACTTGGATCTGCTGCTCCCGCTCTTCGCCGCTGGGCTTATAGCCTGAACTTAGGTACGCGATGGGGTTGGAGCGATACTCCCGAGGTAGTTTGTCGAGCACGGTGGTCTGGAGTTTATGGTCGGGGCGATGCAGATCCAGTCCCACGATGACCTTGCCCGCACTCACATCCCAGATCGTATGGACGTTGGTCTCCGGCTTTCTGGGCACATTACGGATCAAGGAAGTCACGACCGTGCGCTTCATCTTATAGGTCACGTTTCCGGACATGCACGCGTACCTCCAGAGAACCCGGCAGATGTTATAGTATTGGCCCTTGAAAGCGACCAGGAAGAGCCGCTCCCATGCGTGCCGTTCGAGCTTCGTCTCAGGGCGCTCTAGGCAGCGGAAGAGATATCGCAGAGCGGTGGGCATGTCTGCTCGAAAAAGGGACAAAATTTGGGTAATGGTAGCACTGTTGAAGGTTAGATCGTTCTGCTTGCAGATCTCGAATAACCGGTCCAGGGCAGCAAAGTCTTTCAGCCGGACGATGACACCGAACATCTGGCTGATCAGGGATGGAACAAAACAGCTATCTCCGCAGGAGTCGGCGGTCTGCCTGATGAATGAATCCACACTCTTGCCACTTTCCAAGTGGGCTCGGAACGTGTTCGGCAGTGTCAGATGTAGCGCCGTCCGCATCGCACCCATGTTCTCCAGGTACCCGCGCTGCAGCATATATGTGACGAGGTCTGCTTTCGCCTTGGGGGCAACCAGGCAATCCAGCAGTGTGAGCCATGTATTGGGGTCCGGCCGAATGCTCAGCCGAGACATGGCCAGCAAGAACTGACGAAAGAAGCGGAGGTCTTGTCTCTTGGCTGCAGACTTCAGAAGGATATTAAAGGTATCCACCGTCGCAAGGTGTTCGGACTTGAGAAAGATGTCGCGGGCGGCGTTCAAAAACTCATGATCGAGCAGATACGACAGCGCTCGATTTAACGCAGCCGTTGACATAAAGCTGGAATAGGTCTCATTCCGGAACAGCTGTACAAGGGCCTTCGCCACTTGCTTCTGGTGCGAATAGGGGATTTTCGAGTTGTACGAAGGTTTCGATCTCGTCAATTCCTCCACATGTTCCGCGAAATCCCTAATCCCAGACAGATTCTTCCCAGCAGGCAAGACCATATGCAACTTCGCGGCCTGCTTGACAGCCGATTGTATATCCCAAACCCCTCGAACCAGCGGCACGGGAGCACCCTGACGCTTCATCGCCTCGATAGACGGGATAATCGGCGCAAGCGGGATTTGAATATCGACCAAGGGATCACTTTGTTCTTGCAGTCTTCTCGCCTGCGCAATCCTATCGCTCACCAACTCAACAACCCGCTCCGAGCCAGACAGAATCACTCTCCGAAACTGACCCTGGCTCTGCAGTGGGCGCAGCACATGCACCTTGCACCCGTTATGCACCGGCACATACCAAACATTCTCTTTCAACGCCATATCCGTCACGCCGGCCAAGAGCGCGATCGTCTCCTCCGGCACGAGCAACTCTTTCTGCTTGACGCCCTTCTTCGCCCAGACGTGCGTATCCTCATGCATCTTCTCCAACATCTCCCGAATCTTCGTCCACTTGTTCCATTGATTATTCTTCGCCTTGTCACGACCCTGACTCTGCTTCGTCAAAAACAGCCGATATCTCAACTTCCGTCGGTCACGGTGCGATAGTCGCTTCAGCGCAATAGCGGGCGTCGGTTCACCGGACGATCTCATACCCTTCCGACCCGCTGTCGGCTGAACTGGTCTCGTCTGTAGGTCGGAGAAGATGTTGAAGACGTGTCGTTCGCTCTTCACCTCGGTTTGCGGGTCATTGTCTAGTTCGTTATAGATGGATGCAGATCCGGTATCGGTATTCTCTTCACCACGCTTTCCTTTCTGTGGAGTATTGACATCTGCTGACTTCCCCTGCTCAGGCGGAACATCTTCCCCCTTCACCTCTGTCTTAACAGCAGCCTCCGCCGCCGTCGTCGAAACCCACCGTCTCGACGAGCTCCCAAACGAGAGCTTCCGTCCAGCCGGCGGCGGCGGCGGCGGCTGTCTCGCTACCGTCCTCCTTCCAGCATTATATGCATTCGCTTTCCCATTTCCACACTGCGAAGCCGAGGAAACAAGTCTCCGTTGTCGTACAGCCGAACCCACCCAGCGAGGGTACAGGAATAGGAGAGGTTCTTCGGGACTAGCCGCGACGGTGTCTAAGACGGTAGATAAACTACGTCTTTTCAGACACGGTCGACCACGAGATAACATGTGGGAAGAACACCAGCCAAGCGAGGGGGTGGAACTTGGGAGGCGTTGGTGCCGTGGCCGTGGTCGTTAGGACTCGAGAGATCGGAATGGCCGAGGGAGAGAGGCAGGGAGCTTCGGAGCCAAAAAAGTTATTACTGTTAGTTGTCGGGTTGGGGTTACCGGGGTTGGTAGGCGGTAGGCGGTCGTGGCTGGCATTTTTACTGCACCTCCGCGGTGCCAAGCATTGTACTCCGTATGTATATAGTCTTGAGATATCAATTGCAGATGATTTATTTGATGTGAAGACACTTCAATGATGACAGATGAATAATGATACAGATTCTACGCTAACCAAAGGATACTAATCCATCCACCCCATAACTCCATAGCCAATCCAATCAAGAAGAATACTGGAAAATATGCCCTTCCCTGCCTACCTCCGCCTCCTTAGGAATCCCCTTAATCTCCCCTCCATCGTCCATTGACTTAAATTCGAACCGGCCAGAGTATCTCGCCAATAGACTCCCGCGCTTAGACACGGGTGTTAAATCCAGCATCTCCATGCTCGATTTCCGGTTCTCGGTTCTTAGAACCCCGGGGCCAGTGAGATGGCGTCTCGCTGTTTCAGTGGCCTTTTGGAGATGATTCAGTTTGCGCTGCAACTCGGTGGCTTCGTTGCCGCTGGCTGAGGAGAGTCGCTGGGAGAGGGACTCGACGACGTCGGTGAGGTGGATCACGAAGTGCCAGCGAGAGGCTTGGAAGACGAACATAGACATGATTTCGGGGATCTGAACAGTTATAACAGTAGTCAGTATCTGCTGGAAGATATATATCGAGGGGAAAGGAAATGGTGATCTGAGGGTAAGCGTATAGGGGGACTACCTTCTCATCCAAATAAAACAACTCCTCGCCGCCCTCCTCGACGAACCGATCCAACGCATCCACCTTCTCGCGATCCACAATCGCTACTCTCAACGCATGCATCAGGGCCGGGACATCGGCTATCTCCTCTATCGGCACCTCCTCTTCCTCCCTAGCAGTCGTCGCGGTCGTCGTCCGACCCAAACTCGTAGCTCCATACCCACCACCACCAACCTCACTAACCGGCCTCTTTTTCTTCTTCCCTGAATGAATCGTGAAATAGTCCTCATTCAACCTATGCGCCATCTCCAACCCCGTCCGTCCATGTCTATCCACCAGCCGTTTCGTCCTCACTCGGACCCATCTGCGCCGGCGCACAAACGAATGAAACCACGGATGTGACCCATGCCATGCCGTCGACTTGAAAGAGAACGAATACTGCCATCCCTGGTCGTCCACGTCGCCGGACATATCGACGTACCAGGACCGCCAGGCCCACACCCAGCTGGGGTCGGGCACTTGCGCGTTTGTGATGTCCACGGGGCTGTCGCGCAGATCGGCGGTCTGCCAGGCGGAGGGGTCGAAGTTGAGGAGGGAGCTGTGCGAGTAGAGGGGGATGCCGAAGAAGAACCACCCGCGTTGGTTCTCGTAGAGGATGTCGAGCTCGGTGTTGGGTTTGAGGCCGGTGAGTTTTGTGGGACCGTGGGAGTGTGTAGTGGTGGTGTTGGTGAGGGTGCTTTCGGGGGCGAAATCTGTGGCGCTTATGTCGTGCGAAGGGGGTGAGGGTTGTTGGCTGGGACTGCGGCTTTGGCTGTCGCTTTGACTTTGGTATTGCGAGGGGGGGTTGCTGGTGGTGGTTGCTGTTTCTGTAGTGAAGAGATCTGTTTCTGGTCTTTCTGAGGGGCGTCGGCTGGATGATGGTATGTTCTCCTCCCCCTCATTATTGTTGTAGTTGTAGTTGTCGTTGTCTTCATCATCGGTCGTGAGACCTAATCGATCCGGTTGCCATTTAGCGTACTTGCGCTTCTTGAGCTCGCCGCGAATTGATCTTTTCGTCCATTTTCGGGAGACGTGGCTGCCGCCGTTTGTTGTAGCGGTGGGAGTTTCTGAGTGACGGCGACGGGGCGCAGTGTTATCGATGAGGGCGATGGAGCTGCTTGTGTTGGACTGGTCGTTGTTATCCATTGTAGATGCCCCCTTACTATTCAGTGTATGCAGAGGCCAATCTTATAATAACTATGAATTATAACTGAAATAGAAAAAGGGTGCCGATCATCGCAGCGAAAATAAGGCCATTCTGCAGGGATAGAATAGTGTTGTATGTGAGACAAGACAACTGGACTAGCTGGAGATTAAAAGGGGACACTCCAATTAGAATAGTAAGGAATAAGTTATTCTTGTAGCCTGCAAGAAGAAGAGGCTATATAAAGCAACAAGGCATTTAAATTAAGTAAAACATTCAATGAAATGGTGCGACAAACTCACTACCCACCGGAACCTGCCTGGTTGGGAGAAACGAAGATGATGAAGAAAAGTAAGTTAGTAGTTCGTTGCAAAGCAAGGCATGGAATGGGAACTACTTTTCCTCACCTTCCCGATTTCGATCAATGATGACATCGTTTGCGGGGCGATCGACGCTACTTTATGCCTGAGGCAGAGACTTCACTTCGTGTCCCTTAGTGCCTCAGGCACGAATGAATGGCTAGATTGCTATCGTATCTCCGCATCACAATCATCAAACATACTCTGGACGCGTTTCCCCTCCCTCCTCACCACTATTTCTCCCCCCACCAACACCACCACTTATACCCCCACCGACACACCAAAGAGAAAAAAAAACATAAAATAAAAGAAAGAGAATAGAAAATGTCCACCGACCACCACCGCAAAATCGAACTCCAATCGCCCGCGGACTTCACCTACCTCTACGCCAACACCGTCGCGCTCTCACGAGCAAAACTCGACCTCCACCTGCCCCCGTCCGCGAACCCCAACGATGGACCGGATCCAATGCGCGAGCGAGTGCGAGAATTAGTCGATGAGGTAAATACCTTATCCCTTCCTCCCTTCCTCCCAAGGTCTCTCATTCACCATCATACATTTTGCAATGTCTAACAATAACCGCTCCCAGTACATAAACCGCACCTTCAACTCCGCCTCCCCCTCCATAAGCATCAACGGTCTCGACTCCACATCCCCGGAATGGCCCTTCCCCGCGGCCTTCACAGCCCCCACAGAACAAGTGGAATACGAAGCGTACGACGGAAAACTAGCATCGCGGGTAACGTCTCTGTATGCGCAATTGGAGTCGTTGACGACGACGGTGGCGCAATTGAGACGGGATGCGCCGGGCCGGGCGGCGAAGGCGTATGCGGAGCAGTTGAGGAGGGCGTTGAGGGAGGATGAACAGGAAACAGAAGAGGAGGAGGAGGAGGAGGAGGAGGAGATGAAGGAGGAGGAAGATGAAGAAGGGCAGCAGCAACAGGGTGGGGACCAGGATACGGAGATGACTGATGCTGGGAGCACAACGGCAAGTACACAAAGGAAAGGGCCGATGACGAGATCGCGGGCGAAATTGGAGGTTTCGCTGGGGACGGAGAATGAGGCGGAGAGGTGGCGGAGTGGGGAGATGGCGGAGGTGTATGAGGATGCGTTGCGGACGTTGTTGCGGCTTCAAGGTGAGGGGGTATCTGGGGCGGAGGTGGATTCGAGTGGTGATGGGGCGGATGGGAATGCTCTTTCTTCGACGCTGGGGAAGGCCGAGAGGGCTGGGCGGGCTGTCGAGGTGGTGGAGAAGAAGAAGGATAAGAAGAAATGAGTGTTTGTTTAGGCTTGTCTGCTTATCACTGGGTTGTTTATTCCGTTCTACTGGGTTTGGTCGGCGTCTGCAGGGGTCTTGGGATGATACCAATCGGTTTACGATGTGTTTGCAACATGAATACATGATCTGCATCTCGGTGCTTTAAAGGACGCTTCTGCAACATTCACTCTAACGCTATCTGAGTGTATACCCTGGTTCTACCTAGAGCATCCTGACCACGTAACACTTTTATCTTCTGTCCGCTATTACTGCCCCGGCTCCAATCTATAAAAAGCACCTCGCGCCGCTCATATGGTGTTTGATATCTGACTGCAAAAGGAAAACAAGCACGACCAAAAACAAAACACATAATAATAGGACCGCGGAATCCCCTGAAACAACTCTCAACTATCCTTCCAGCACGTATCTTGAGAGTTGAAAAGAAAGTAGACAGGCACCCGCGGCGTACCTCTCCCTAGCAAAACAGTTCTAGAAACAAAAGAAGGGATATAGATCGGCAAGATAGTGCCTGAAGCTTTTACCATATTGATCCAAGATGTAGAACGAAAAGAAACAGAAACGGTGGATGAAACAAAGCCTCTATGCGGTGGCCTGAGCCTCAGCCTCCTTCTCCGCAGCAGCCTCAGCAGCAGCCTCAGCAGGAGCCTCAGCAGCAGGCTCCTTCGGGGCAGCCCACTTGGGGGTCTTGGCCCACTCAGACTCCTGCCACGGGCCCATGTCGCTAAGCTCGCAGCCTCCGGCGCACGTGCAGGTACCGCCGAACTCAACAGGGAGGTTCTCAGCGGGGACCTGAGCCAGCAGCTCCTTCTTGTAGTTGGAGCCGAGGACGTGGATCTTGTTCACGGTCACCGGATCAAGGAAGCCCTTGACCACGCTGAACACGCTGCTGAAGCCCCAGGGGGCGTTGATCAGGTAAAGCTTGCCCAGACGCTCGGGGTAGTAGTTCTGGGAGATGGCAGACGCCTGCTTGACATAGCCGTAGACGGAGGGGACGCTGGTGATACCGACACCCTTCAGGTCCATGATGGTGCAGCAAGTCTCAAGCAGCTTACCAGCCTTGCGCGAGCAGGCGGGCAGACGGGGGTCGGCAAGCTTCTCATACTCGGTCACGAGGTTCTGGAGCATGCGCTCGCCGGTGGTGATCTTGTACATGGCATTGAGGTCAATCTTGCCCAACTTCTCGATGTAGACAGGACGGCCATCCTATTCGGGATCCCGATCGTTAGCGTCTCGACCAGTCTAGCGGTGGAGGAAAAAGCGGTCTGTTCAAGTCACGCACCTTGTCCGTCTTGTGGTAGTACTGAGGGTAGTATTCGAAGACCTTAGCCTTCTCGGGGTACTCGAAAGTGCGGACCAGCTCATCAGTACCGAACTCTTTCCGCCACTTCTCGCAGTCGACGAACCTTTATTTCCAAGATAGGATGTTAGCGCGCGCTTTGAACGGTTCAAGTCTCCATGATCACTGAGCATCTCGGAGCGAAGTCTCCGTGAAATAGGAGGCAAAAAAAAAAAAAAAATAATGCAAGACAGACTTTCAACGCCGTCTTCCCAGTAGCATCCGCTTACGCGTAGGCCCCAGTCACTGGCGCTAGTCGTCACAATAGTCAGGGAGCAAATACGTACATGGTCTTGGCAGCAGCGACATCAAACTTCCGGGCTCTCAGGAAACGCAACAGCGTCAGAGTATCCAGCCTCTCGGTGTAGCCAAGTTGTTCCAGCTCGGCCCGGAGCTGCTCTACCTTCGCATCCTGCTCCGGGGTGGTGTGGCCAGGGTGGCCGGGCTGGGCTTCCGGCGCGGTGGTCGGGAAATCGTAGTCATCGTACTTGGACTGGGGGGCCGCCATTGTGAAGGTGATGGTGGGTGAAGAGGGTTGGGGGAAAGGAAGAGTAAAAGAGGGTTGAGAGAAAGTTATAGACCCGAAGGCGGGATGAGTTGATGTTCAAAAGGGAGGAGGAGGAGAAGGAGGCAAGAGGAGAAATCGGGCGGTGCAGGGGGGGAGAGGAGGAGGAGGAGAGAGAGAGGGGAGTGGGGAGGGACAATTAAGCGGGATGTCGCAGATAGCAGCGGTTAAGGGGAAGGAGAAGAGGAGGACCAACTGCCCGGAATATGAACAACTAATCTGGAAATTAACCAGAGGCGAAATACAGAGGAAAATTGAACAGAAAGAGGCAAAAAAGAAATAATAGAAAAAAGCCAGAAGGCGAGAAAGAAATGAGACGGCGGACGGAAACAGTCAAACTTAGACGGGAATCCAACTTTCCTACTACTGGCGTTGACCACTCACTACGACTGAAATGACTGCCTACCAAACTGCCTACTGGATGTTCAGTGGCAGCAGTCGGCCTGAATTGGGTGCCTGAAAACCGAGGGGCGGCGCGTAAAGCGGTCAACTACTTGTCCATTTCCCCCTTCTATACGGAGGACTCTGAGGCGTCATGCATGGCTGCATCTGTTTCATCATCGATTCAAAGTACTACTTGATTAGGAGGCATCCTGCCGCATGATCATCATTCCCATTCACCCCCTCAGAAGCCCCTGGTTTGCGACCACCGAAGCCTCTCCTACGCCAATGCGCCCTCTCGTTTCAGGGCGGTCGCGCCGTTGCCATTCTGTGCCCCGGCGGCAGTGACGTAGGGGTTTAGATCAATGCTGGTGGTCTCTGGGCAACTTGGCCGAATATCACTCGGCGGAAATTGCTAGCCAATAACCCCGACGATCGAATCACCTACATCGCCAGATACGAACAACGCAGGTCGATCACATTACCCAAAAGAATCGAAGAATCCTAAACAATGTCTGGTCTTTGCCGACTGTTCGCGGGCCCAGACACCACAGAGCATCATCCTCATTAAAAGCCATATAATATATGATTCCGGGGAATTCACAACGCTAAATCCAAGGCATACTAGTACACATAAACACAAGGTAACATGACGGCCGGCTTCATTAGAGCCGCTGAAGCAACACAGCGCACCAATCTCATCAAACCGCACTGACCCAATAAAAGACACTCGAGCGCAATATCATTCAACGGGGTATAGCCGTCGCGAGGACAAAACGAAAACGCAACACTGCTCAAACAAACCCTGCTCATGACCACTCACCCCCGAGCCAGCGAGGAAAGAGTCCAGGACCACATGCTTGGGATTGACAGAGCCGGTCGCCTCACCACATTACTGCCCCGCATAGGAGCCCTATCTTAACGAAATCGGACATAACGAGAACAAAAAAAAAAAAAGCAACTCATCTTATGCATCCATAGTCGACCCGCACCACGCCTGGGTGGCGAGCCGCATGGTGAAGTGTACAAATCAATCGTCCGTCCCCAGGTCATAACGTAGAATAGACGATCCAAATAGATAACACTGCCACGGTCTTCCGGGCATGTTGGCGTATTTCCAAGGCCAATTGTCGGTCATCAAATTGGCGACTTGATAGCCCCGAGACCGAAGGCTGGCCCCATCTTGAGGCTTGCCGGTGACTATCCGCTCCGTTTCATAGACGTCGTGATAGAGTGTAGAAGAGAGGCCATCGATGCGGTCTCTCTACCACCCTTTCTTTCGTGCAAATCGTTTGTTCAAAAGTAGAAGCACCTTCGAGACATTGAATTGGACATACTCCAGATCCAAGTCCTCCTGGTTGTCCTTTTGCATTTCGAGCAAATCATCAAGCTTGAGATCCAGCTCCAAAAGACCACGAGCACGGCCTGACAGTTGGGTTAGTAAAGAAGCAGAAGAAGAGAGGTTTAAAGCCACTGCTCACCTTTGTAATGCAGGCTGATGACAAAAGTGCCTGGCAAAGGACTCTTGAACATAAAGTAGATGTTTGCTCGTCGATTCTCTGGAACGTTACTCTTGCGAATGACACCTTCCTTTTCAAGCTGCTGGTGCGTGAACTTGTACGGTCCGAGCTCCTGGTGCTTCTGCTGTTTCCGCTGCTTGCCCTCGGACTGACTGCGGACGTTGTGAAGATACGACTTGTACGTTTCCAGCTGGCCCACCAAGTATGCGTTATGGTCGCGTATGGTGGCAAAAACTTCTTCCAGTTTCTTCGTCTCCTTCAAGACGTTTTCTTTCAGGCCGCCTAGGTACTCCAATTCCTGTTCAACCTCGTCCCGCAGGAGACTGAAGTCATTGGCACGTTCGATGACGCCCAATTTCATCAATTGATCGAGCAGTTCTATAGTGCGGATTCCTTTCCGGACCATTACCGCATCGTTCTTAAGAGTCGCAGCGCTCTCTGCAATGAGATAGAGCCGTAGTGGACGACGCATTGCCGGGTGTTTCGGAGGGAGGGACCGCAAAATCTGGACGAAGGTGGATTTGGCCTCCATGAAGAAGACTTCTTCTTGGGTGATATCCAAGGCCGCGGTCAAATCATCTAGAGAAGTCTCCCAGCGGCTAAACAAGGGCACTGTAATGGTCCTATTCTCCTTCCGGGGGACCTGTGGTGGCGCAGCACCAAGCTCCTGCAGGAGTTCATTGAGATGGGAGTGCTGGTCCTGGGCCAAAGCCAAGCTGTGCTTCTCCAGCAAGGCGTGGGTGGCGTACATCTCGTTGAGGGTAATCTGTAACTCCAGGTCCCGCTTCGAGAGCGCGACGTAGTTGTCCATCTCCAAGCTCTCGTAGAAATCTTGTACATCGCACAGATCAAGCATGAACTTGTTCACGCGCTCTTTGTTTTGCTGGATGAAAGGCTGAAGTTTCGCCATATAAGGCTCCTTGGCATACGAGGGTTTGTTCGCCAAGTTCTGAAGCATCTTCGCGATCAGAGTCAACGTGCGCCGGGGTTTCTCCGTGGGCGTCGATTCGATTAACATATACGAGCGGGGCGTGACAATGGCGGGGTTGATGAAGCGAAGGAAGAAGAATCCTCCAATTAGGGTACAGATGGTCTGATCTTGAGCGTCCGGGTACTTGCGTCGGGACAAGCTTCTGATCTGCTTGCATATCCACCGGATGCCGTATGGTGTCTCCTCCACGGACTCGATAATTATGTTCAAGAAGCGGTTGGCATAGTCGGTGAGCATCTTCAACCGCGGTTCGATGATGGCCTGCACCTGCGCATTTGCCGCGGCATCTTCCGCCGTAACAGACCTCTGAAGACTTTCTGGCAACGAGCCCTGCTCCTCTTCGATCTGTTTCACCATGGTTTCGTACACTTTGAGCGGGTTGATCTCCAAGTCGACGTCGCGCAGCTCGATCAGGGCATTGATCTGGTCGGCAAGGACTTGTTTCAGGTAACTCTGGCCAGGACCGCGCCGGGTGTAGGTGGTCATCATGCGGGAAACAGGGGTATTCTGGCGCAAGAGTGACGAGTACTCCGGAGTGTTATCAAACTGGTAGGTGAGGACAGACTGAAACATGGTAAGTAGCAGGTGTTCTTCACGACTCTCGTACTGATTACCGTAAATAGTAAACATCACGGTTTGCAAGAGGGAGTCGATCTCGGACATGGAGACTAGACGGCACAGGTGGGCGATGTGACGGGGTTCGGACTGAAGGAGGAAGAGAAGATTGCCGTACTTCTGTGTTCGCTCATCGTTAGGAAAGAATCCCTCCTGGGGATCTATGGCATCGTCGAGGTGACTGGCAACTTCGTTTTGCTGGTACTGTCAGGAACTACCCACGCGAGACAGAGGGATCAATTCTTACTTCTTCCAGAGCCATACGGTTTTGGATTAGCAGCGCTATCCGTGAATCCAAATACCGCACATCTTTTTCCAGGACGAAATTCTTCTTCGATTGAGTGGAGATCTTGGCCTTCAGTTCGCGCAAATATATTTGAGCTGTCCCACACAATGTCAGCAAGCGTGTCCAAGTCAAAACAGGTTCCAACCAAATCCAATGACTAACCTCTCGCCAGATCGTCTGATATATCCAAGTCTCTATCCTTCGCGTTCATGGACATGTACAGCGCAGTGACTGACAGCCGCTTCGACTGGCGGAGGGACCGCGTATCGTGGGAAGACATGGTGTTTTGGCGTGTGACGGGCTGAAAGGAAGAAGACGAGGAAGTCGAGGCTCTCGAAGCGGGTTGAAGCATCGTAGCAACGGACATTATGTGCAAGAAAGGAGCGTGGTAAAGTGTGTGCCGAGATCGAGCAGCACACGATTGGGCGTTCAGGCGCGATATATGCGGGCGAACAATCAACTACACCGACGCTCGACACCTTCAATATCGCAATGAGGACAATTCGAGCAGTAGTCGCGAAGTTTATGTCTCTAACAACCACTGATCATTTGGAACAAAGCAAGCGAGTGCAGCGACGTAACGCAGATGTTCCAAAAACCCCCTTATCGGACGTGTGGGAAGGCTGTAGCTGTCGAGGCGAACGAGCAATCGGAGCGAGCTCTGTGCACGGTTGGTGAGTTAACGGCGTTGGCAACCTCGAGACGTGGACGCCGCTAGTCGCGTAAGAGAGGGAGTAAAAATAGGATGGAGAAAAAGTAAAGGGCGATCGGAATGGAGGATTAACGTGAAGCGGAGCGCGATGGATGCGATCAACAGGAGGCGTCTCAGATACTGCCCGGCGGTTATAAGGGTTAACTTGGAGAGCAGCAAAGATAGGCGGTGGGAATAATTCCGAATCGGAGAGGGACGGAGGAGTTGTAGAGGAGATTAAAGAGATGGGTTGTGGTATGGAAGAGGAAATTTCCCACTGCCGAAGAGGGAAGGAGGCGCAAGGCAAGGATGGGAAGGATTAATTAATGATCGATGAAGAGTGTGAAAGAGAGAGACTGGAGGGGGGAGGGAGGCAGGCAGGAGAAAAGATGCCGGTCGGATGCAGAGGAAAATCAATCAGGGCAACCTCCCAAGGAAGCAAGTCACTAACCAACAGGGGGAAGGGATCGGAATGACAGTGAATTAAGAAGGGAGTGGGTGATCAGGAAAAGAAAGTAATAAGGGAGAGAACAAGTGCGGTGAATAAAAAAAATAATAATTAGAGATCCCAATCAATCAACTTTGTAGAATGCCGTAGGATATCAGAGTGGAAAGTTGACAATGGGTGAAGGGGATTACGACGACGACAGCAGAACAAAGAGGGTACAACTGGAGTGATGGAAGTGTTGAAGAGGGAAAATCAATAATAATAATAAATAATAATGATCATTAAGGGAAGAATAAGAAGAATGGGTATTGAGCCGGTGCTCCAGATCCAGGAGAAACAAGAGAGGGAGGGGGGAAAAAAAGGCACAGGATGGTTCGCGAGTGGACTAAAGGAGGGGAGAAATAAATCCGCTCGAACCCTCAAGACGGCGTTTACGGTTGGTTAAGGGTGGAGTTGGTTTCCGTGACTTGCAGCGGACGGGATGGAGGGCCAAGCAGGTACCACTGCCACTAAACAAAGTAGATACTTTTTAGTCGCGCGAGGATTCAAATTTCGTCAGGGCAGTTTGACCTTGAGTACTAGTAGTATGTCTGGTGGACCTGCATTTAGTCTACACCTGCATCAACATCATGCTGAGTCGCTGAGTAGTAGTAGTAGTAGTAGTTTTCTTTCTTTCTGGTCATTACTTTTTTTTTTGGGTAAACGTGTTTCTCAAAAGTGACAAATTCTCCTACTTGCATGTATCATCATCTGTATTTTTCTATTTCTTTTTCCTTTTCCCTATTTCTTTCCACCGTGTGTACCAACCACTGACTAAGTATTGCATGAGAGAGGGGGGGAAAGGAAAGGAAAAAAGGGAACGGAGCACAGGGTGGCCCAACGGTTGAACGGATTACATGAAGGCCCTCTCTCCACCCAGGCAGCCCCAGAGACCCAGTGAACAATTCCTGTTCCTGAAATTGGTCCCTACGGTCTTGGTCTGTCGGTCTGTCGGTCTGTTCCTCCCTCAGGGATTATTAGTTAGTATCTTCCCACCCACCACCACCAGCACCACCAGCACACGCCTCCTGATTTTTAAAGGACCGGTCAATCCATTCCGCTTCCAGCTGACTGACAGCCAGATATCGAGACAGACGAGGTTGAATTAATCAATGCGTCATGACTGTCAATCCAAGACAAAGAATTTAGAGACATTCTCCAGGTCAGATGTTTGGGATATAATAGCTAGCTTATACCCATGGACGGAGACATAAATTAGCGTTCCTCCAATTCCATTTACCGCTTTGGGTATTTCTTCCCCTCCCTCCCTCCCTCTCTCGTTCAAACCTTGAACTTCACCCTCACCCCTCTATGAGAATACTTTCTTATCCAAACAACAGACAAACAATTCCGATTACTTATACATTATAAATAAGTAAAATACAGTAGTATCCATAAACAATCATCCGGATCGACCCCGTCCCCCCAAATAATGATATCCGGATGATCGTCTGCCGCCGCTTCTTGACCGTCGGATGATCGCCCATGCAAGAAGACGCAAGGGGAAAAACCCAGCGGAGCCCACGGCTTGCACGTACCGTAACCGGGGGGTGCAGATAGATACTTAGTATCCGTACTCCATAGTAGCGCGTAGGTTCGGAGTTAAGCACACGAAAAAGCGACCCTAGCCTAACTAGATAGTGAGATTCCACGTAGAAGAGAGACTAGCATTACTTGCAACAGTAGTAGTAGCAGCAGCCTTCCCATTTGTCACAGTAAAAACATAAAGTAAAAAATGATAATAACTTAAGATGCTATCTTAATCTTTTTTAGTGCATCAGCCCATCGCATGGCACATTCCAAGGTTTTGCAGGAAATGTTTAATTTCGCATGACCTGAGTAGTTAGTGTTGTAGATACTTTGTAGTTAGTCAGTCCCTTTTCCCCATCCGTCCGCGCGCCCTCTCTCTCTTTCTCTCGTTTTTACCCCTGGCCCAATGCTTCTCCGTCCACGGGTACCTGAGTCCCCGTAAGTCGGTAATCTGTTGCCACCACCCACACCCACCCACTCCTCTCAAGTCGGGTCGGGGGTTTACACTGTAAGAGAGGAGGGGGAAAAAAAAGAGGGGATCTACTCCGTACTGGATAGTACGACGCGGCACTAGTCTGAACTACTTGTTACTGCACACGCAACCGTGCAGAGAGAAAGTGGAGGGAAGGAAAAGAATAAAAAAAGAAAAAAGAAATAATAATGATGCACAAAATCTCGAGAAAAACCTGATCAGTGCCTTCCGAACTTTATCTTTTTGAATTCCATCCATGGCATCGCTTTTTTGAGTTATGACCCATAGGTCAATCATCCTGTCATGGGAGACATGATGGCGAGGCAGCACAAAATTCTAGAGGAGGGGGGGAAGAGGGGGGCAGGCAGGCATGACTTACTCCGTAGTTCGTTTACCTGCAGGGCGCCAGTTCCAAACTAACTTTAGCCACTCTCTCACTTGATGGAAGTGAGAGAGAGTTTGGTACCACCAGTTCACTACTGCCGGGATAAGATTGGTGAGACGAAGTTGCCGGGGGCGGAGTATGACTGAATCTTAAAAAGGACCAAGTTTCAGATTTGCGCGATTCGAGTCATCCATCCATGGATTGGACGGGAGTGCATGTGTGGTACCTGCAGTTGGTGGCTTTCATTTTAGTACGTACATTAGGCCGCCTGACAAGATTGATTGATTGTTTGCTTCGCGTAGGAGGGAGAATTTGAAATCGAAACCTCGTGTGTCGGAATGGTATGGTTTCATTGGCTTTTTCTCCTAAGGGGTCTGAATCATTTGGTTAAATATCTGACTAGTTTGATTTGATCCCTTCTTATTTACTTGCTCTATGTGCCTGCTCCGTAGAGTCGTAGTAATTTTGCCCACAGTAGATAAATCTAGCCTGCAGATTTGCAATTCTCGCGTAGCACAGGATCTCAAGCATGTCTAGGAAAACGAGTCGGGTAATTATGTGGAATTAATGAGCGATAATGCAAGCCTATGACGATGCAGCATTGCGATGCGAGACATTTGAGATACGATCAATGTCGGGTGGGTAATTGTCCTCGTGAGCGGGGGGTTTTCATACTTAGTAGAGATTCTACACGGTATCCTCCCTCCTTATCAGGATCGGCTATCTGCCAAGTTGGATTCTGCTCTTCGCATACCAAGCACACATGATAAATTTTGCCACTGGATTGTATCTAATTATCTGTTGTTCTTGGCCTGAAAATCTTCAAAAAAAAAAAAAAAAAAAAAAAAAAAAAAAAAAAAAAAAAACCAATACATACTAGTCAATAACCGTGAATACCCTTGTGGCTTAAATTCTTGGGGCATTCAGGGTCAATGTATGCATGTAGATCGGCCGGGGTCATCATTCTTACCGGAAGTACTAAAGCCTCGTGGTGCATACTGCTGGGCTTGGCAGGCATATGGAAAATAGAGGACTAGTCTAAGTGATAAATTATCTATCTACAATCGATAACCAAAAAAGAAGCGGAATACCAGTAATCTACATAATACGAATACCGATCCTGCATGACTCGTGAAGCGAACCGTGAAATCGGAACATAACATCGTTCCCGCCTCAGAATTGACTACTGTATCTAGACAATGAAACCCAAAAATCCCTCAGTTGATTATTGATTTCCCCATATTGGCATGGATCTTGCGACAGAGCAAACGATGGAAACGATCGACATCATCCAACTTAAACCTCGCACAGATCCAAATCAGCAGTGACCAGATCCCGTCAGCGTCAACGTCATCGTCATTGTCATTAGTAGCTCTTTTCTCCACCTTAATCACAAATGTAGATGAACTCATATATACAGTCAATGAGTAATATAAGCGAGTAAGAAAGAAGAATCCAACATACACACTCCTTGACCACCTACATGGTAAATAGATCCATCATCTCATATCCCGAACCCCTACTCTCAAATCCCTATACATCACCTAAAGTATAAAAATGAAAAGAAAAAAGCAAATCGCACTGAAGTCCAATCCCACCCTCCACCCATCCAGAAAGAACCATAGATAATCAGCCCAATTCCAACTCTAATATACTAAACTTCGATAGTGCGCACCTGTCAAAAGCAAACATTCACGACCATGCAAATCACCAACTTACTTAGATACTTGATGTCACGGATCCTGATCCTAACTAACGAATCAATTATTTCCATGAGTAATTGAGTATGTCAGCATCAAATACATCAAGCGTGCTTATGCACTTATGCACATACGAATCGATCGTGTACCACCTTCACAAGTGTGGGGTCACACAAAACATACTGTAGAGTGGTACATCCACAGTGACACACATATGCATGCATGCAGCCTGCAATTTGTACAGTATGCACCCCAAATTTCAGTGTGTGGTGTGCTTTCAGTGGAGGTTGTCTAGTATAGCAGATCTGGTTAGTCTGTGTCTGTGGGCGGATCACTTGTGTTAAGTTCATGGTTTGGTTTGGTTCGGTGTGGATAGGGACTGAAGGTCGGTGCTAGGAACTCTATGTGCACAGATCTACAATTAGTGTGATATATAATTATCTTCTGGATTGGTTGGTGGAAAGCGTAAAAGCGGTCTACAGAGAATGGGGTCATAGTTATTCAAAGCAAAAGTATGTTTGGATTTAATGAGAGCTTATTTTTTAGCACTAAGCAAGTAAAAAAGAACGACTAGTGATACCAAGCTCCCAGGTGATCTCAAGCCGTAGGATGCAAGAACGGTCTTTCTGTTCTCAGGGACTGTCGTCACCCGATAGGTATCCCATTTCTCGCAGCCGGGCTTCATCCCACATGAAGAGCATGTATTGCGGATGGCCAGAACCGCTGTAGAATTGACCCATCATCGTATCAGGATTAGCAGGCCGTTCCTCCGCGATCTCGTACCAGAGACGGTGTGGGCCATTATCCTCCTCGATGAACACAAATGGATCATACATCCTTTTGATAGCCGGGTCAGTATTTGGAGAAAATTTCTGCTTGTTGAACTCGGGGTCGCTGTTTTCTAGCTTCGCCCAAGTGTAAGAAAGTATAGAATTGCCAGCAGCCTTCTAGCACTTGAAGCGAACCTCGTCTTCAGCATCCAGTCCCTGATGCCACTTTTCGTCCATTTTGCGCTTGAATGCCAATCCTCCTTCCAACTGCAGATAGTTAGGGCTCACAATACACTTCAATGTTGGGTCCAGAGCTCACCAGATAGTTGCGGTCGTTTTCCTTAGAGAAAGTGTTGAGAGCGCATTGCAGCTCTACATGATCAGCTTTGCACCTCGCCTCATCTATTGTTTCAATCAGTATTCTCGCTTCAATACCAGCAAGACTTCAGGCTGATCACGTACCGTATTTGTGAAGGAGGTTCGTCACGGTAATCAATTGATATAGCATCCAGCCGGTGAAATTTCCTAGGAAACTCCTCCAGGGAGCATTGGCCTCCTTACGAGTCATGGTGTGGCGGGGTATGGTGGTCATCGCCTGCAATAGAATGTCATGTATGTAGATGGCACGTTCGACACGTAGCATCTCAGTTCTAGAAGTGTTTCTCAGAACGTACTCAGGGTTTTTTCCTTGTTGTCGCCGAATTGTGTCTTCGGTCAATTCTTTGGCATAATATTGTACGAGCGCATAAAACCTCAACATGCTGCGGGCCTGCTCCTCAGATACTTCCTGCTCCAGCTCAATTCTGTGGGTGTTGTAACGAGACAGAAGAGTCGCAGGGCCATACTTTTTGTACCAGTCTGGCTGGGCCATGTCATAATGGAGATACGCGTAGACTCGGATCTCCTTGGGGATGGTGTTGTACATGACATGTCTCATCCAATTGACACCATAGGGTGCAATCCTCTGTAGCATTGGAGGACATTCCTTTTCGATGAGGGCTTGCACTTCAACCGCAGGAATATTAACTAGAACAATCTTGTTTCGAATACTCTCGGGAAAGTCTGAGAGACTTGGTCCAGTAACTTCCGGGTTCACCGCTGAATGACTTGAAGCCATTTTGTAAGGAGTTACTAGGTTTCTTGTAGAATTTTTTGAGGTTTGATTTTGGCTAATTGCTGAGTGATAGAAACTGAAGAGGCGTGTTGTTGGAAAAAGAAGGAGACTTCTATGCTTACTTGCCTCTACTTATAGTAGTTCGAGGGAGGTCTCACGGAGTAACAGCATGCCTTAGTCGAGGACATGCGAAGGAAACCTCCATTATGGCGACTTTTGAGACAGTAATTCCCATGTATTGATCTTCTTGCTTCCCGAGAGAAGCGGAATGTCCCTATACTTTTGGAGTAGCGTTGAGAGATTGCATCGGAAACAGCCAGATGTTGATGTAGGAGTAAAATTCGCCCTGAGTGGTCCTTCAGGCATGACAATGACCGAAGGCCAATGAGGGGCTCGCTTTCTGACAGTTTTCGCACCTGTTATGAATGGTTCTACACCAACAGCAAAACTGGTGCATGTCTCTTGCAGGCACTGAAGAAGCAACACCAGTGTTGCAACATCAGTCAATATCAGGTGACTCCTAACTAGAAGGCAAAGCACGGCCTTTTACAATAGCACACAACATATCATTCAACTCTACTAAAACATTATTCTGTCCCGAAAGTGGACCCAAGACACCTGAATGGCTATGATTCTCCCCGAACAGCGCCCATTCACCCACCGGGCTGTACGAACCCCTGCGCATTCCTGCATGAACCCTAATTTGTCTCCGATAAGCTTAAATCCAAATCCAACAATGATGAGATAGACATGTCAATATAAACCCAAAATAAAATCCACACATACGACATCACCGGCGAAGATGGAAAAAATTTCGATAGTTCCTCATTACCCGCAGCTATGATTTCAGCCGCAATCACATGCAAATTTCCACCTTAACGGAGTTGTATTTCCTCCGTTTCTTCGCACCGCAATTCCCATCACCACCATCCACCCCAATATCAATATCCAACAAAATGTCCTCTCTAAGAACAACCTACTTAGTAACATACAACAGCATCAACGCCCTTCTCTGGCTATACATATTCTCCTCTATCGTCGTCTCCCCTTTCCAATCCCCCCAAACAACCTACTCTACCCTCGAACCCTGGACAAGATGGACCCAAACTATCGCTATTCTTGAGATCCTTCATGCGAGTCTAGGCAAGTCAAGCCCCATCCCCCGATACCTAAATCCCTGCAGTATCCCAGTTCCACCCCCAACACCAACAAACACGAATTACTGACCGAGAAAAGGCCTCACCCGCTCGCCCATCTTCACAACATTCACCCAAATCTTCGCCCGCAGCGTCCAAGTCTGGGCCATCAATTACGCCTACCCGGAGACCACCAGTCCCTCCCCAGCATACAAGTACATGCTGCTTGCATGGTCATTCGCAGATGCAATCCGGTATTCTTATTTCGCAGTCTTGAGTGCAGGTGCTCCTGTGCCGAGCTTGTTGAGGTGGTTGAGGTATGTACCGTCTCTATCGCTATTTATTCTTCCTTCATTCGTATAGACAAGAGTTTGAATTAATTCCCTCTAGATACTCCCTCTTCCTAATCCTCTACCCCGTTGGCATCGGAAGCGAATGGTGGCTCATGTTCCAGGCGCTGCGCGTTACGAACAGCATTCCTGTTCAGGCGCTTTTCATTTTCTTTCTGTTTCTTTACGGACCTGGTGAGTTTTTTTTCCCCCTTACTCCTATTGACATTGGTGTGTAGATGGTATGGAGTTGTGGTTTTTTAATGCGTGTGTTTGTGTTCTAGGTTCGCCCATGATGTATTCGTATATGGTTAAGCAGAGGAAGAAGACTTTGGCTGGCGGTAAGAAGGAGAGGAAGGAGAACAAGTAAGTGGTTGGTGGGTTGGTTAGTGGATGCAGGAAGTGGTTGGTTAGTTATATACTAATACTGCAGAGGGTGGATGTGGTTGTGGCTGGTGATATGGTGAGCTGAGCTACGTTACTGATAACTAGTATTGACCGATACTACAAGACTGGAACGGACTGGACTAGACAAAATTGAAATGATTTGAAGTTAGATTCAAAACCGGGTATCGCTATGCATTTACAAACACTATGTCCATGCCCATGCTTTTGCGCACCATTCCTCTGACCAAGAAACAACACTCCCTTGCATCACACGCACCCAACAAATCACCGGAACGTAAACGCCTTTCCGGCAGTCTCGCGTTTCTGCTTCCGCACTCCCGACGGGGCATCGAGCACCTTAGCATAGGGATTATAACGACGCCTGGACGGGAGTCCCGAAGTAGCCTTGGGGTTGGCATTGAATACAGAGGCAGCGGACTCGTAGTTGAAGGGAGCCTCCTCTTCCTCCTCTTCTCCGTCCTCCTCGGCAGCTGTCTCGGGTTGTGCTGCGGGCTTGTTCTTCTTCTCCTTGCGGCGCTGTTTCTTGGATGGCTTATCTTCAGTGTCCAACGAGGAACTGGCGTCAGTGGTGTCGAAATCCGATGAGGCGGACTGCAATTGCTCGGCCGTCTCTGCGGGGGCGGCCTTGCGCTTACGTGGTCCACCCATTTCCTTGACGGTGAAGTACTTGTTCTCGTCCTCTTTCTTCTCTTCCTTAACGGCGGGTGCAGAGGTAGCGGGTTTCGGGGTTTGAGGTTGAGCGGGTGCGAGCTTTTCGCGGGCTTCGGAGACGGTTTTAGGCATAGGCGGAAGGGGGAGGGAGAGACGGAGAGCTTCGGCTGAAGCAACGGCGGAGTATGCAGGGACCGTGGGAGGTTCTTGTGACTCCAACACGGAACCCCAGAATTGGGAGACCTCGTAGCGAGAAACAGTGGGGAGATTGGCCTCGTCTGCTGGGGTCGGGGACGGGACATCGACTGGCTGTGTCGCCGGCGCGGCCGGTGTACCCCTGGTTGGCTTGACGTAGACGTCACGCCATTCAGGGCCATCAGCGCCCTCATCCTTAGCCTTCTTGATGACTTCCAAAAGGTCTACAGCGCGGTTTTGGACAATTGGTGTCACAGGTGACAATGTCCGGAACAGGGTGCCCAAGTCGAGCGGCATAGTGTGAGCAACCCTGAAGAGAACGTGTTTCGGGAACACGCATTGCACGCCCTCGTCTTCCTCTCTAGCAACCTCGTCACGCCACTGATGTACTGCTTTGAATACGGCAAACTGTTCCCTGTTGACCACGACCGAATTGCGAGAAAGGAGGTCGTACCAACCACCCGGTCCTTGACCAGTAGCAGCATCGTAAACAGGACGCTCATATACTTGCAGAGCTTCCTTCTTAGACTGCTCCAGGACGTAGTCGATAAGGTTGTTGTCGGGGAGGGAGTTTTCGACAAGTTCGTTGCGAATGTGGTCGTAGATGTGAAGAAGGTAGTGAGTATCCGAACGAGCGTAATCGAACATGCCTTCCGGGATCGGTCGAATGCGCCAGTCGGCCATCTGGTAACGTTTATCGGCTTCGAAGTTGACAAACTTCTGCAGCAGGAACTTCAAACTGCGCTTGGGGTAGTTCAACGCGCAAGCAGCATGGTATGTATCGAACATGCCAACGACGTACAGCCCCAAGTCGCGCTGAAGCCAGATAATATCCATCGAGGAACCGTGAAGCACCTTCAAGATGTTGGGATCCGTGAACACTTCGTTAAGAACTTGCAGCTCCTCCCTCCACGGCTTAAGCGTATCAACAACCCAATCCTTATCCCGAGTGCTGATCTGCATCAAGGAGACAAGACCCTGATACGAGTGCACATCGTGATGCTCCAAATCAATCGCGATCTCCTTCGCGGCCTTAAGTTCCTCCAACATCTCCTTCACTCCCTCCAGAGTATCCACAAAAGTCGCCTTTGTCGACTCCCACGGCTGATAATCCACAGGCGGCGACACGCTGTAGGAAGAAGTGGGGAACTTTGCGGCACGAATCTCCTTCTCGTACGGGTTGACATATCCGACAGCGGAATCGGACAACTTTAACGAGTCTTTCAGCGGAACAACGGCATGAGGCTTCGTCTTAAGCAAAGGCTTGAAAGGCGCGGTATCGGTGTTATCGGCCTTGCGTTCGAACAGCAATTGCGGCTTCGGGATCTTCGACGGGCCGTAGTCGTAAATGGTCGGGAATTTAGCGGGTTGCTTCTTCGAAGCCTTCGCAGCGGCAGCGGCAGCTTGATCCTGTTGCGACGGGCTCAATTTCTTAATAACACCGGTGAATTCATCCAAGCATGCGTCGGCCTTTTCCAATAGCGCATCGATGACATCCACGACGCCGCGCCAATTATCTTCGAGGGAATCTTCGTCGTCTAAGGTCGGTGCAGAAACATCGGTTCCGGCGGTGGCGGCTTTCAAAATAGAAGAAGTGAGCGACAAGAGTCGGTTGCTCTGCTCGTCCAGGGAATCAGAAACCTCTGCGTTAGAGGTGCGATGGAAATCGAGATCTTCGGCTGAAAGTTGACCGGCAGTGCGCGTCACCTGCATCAGGGACGACTGCACCCGTTGCTGTAACGAGCCAAAATCCGCTGTGGAATCCATGTTGAGAAGCAGAGACCAGACAGACGGACCCGTTGGACTCTGGCAGCAGCAGCAATGGGAACTGGACTTGTCTTTCCTGGATAAGAAAAAAAAGCAGTCGGAGGTGGAGAAAATCGTCGCGCCGGCTGATACTGACCGCCTGCTCAAATAGTACTAGTGATCATCACGAGTGATCTCGAAGATGGATTACATAAGGTGCCATGAAGATGATCTCAACAGAGAAGCAGGTTTCATTTACATGCACTCGAGGATATCAACATCTATCCATAGACAGAAAATAGATCCATCTATCTCGCTCCTTTGACTGTCAGTGGAAGGGATTGTTCGATTAACCCGATCCAGGATGTCCGCGTCAATCGCCCCCGAGTGCAACGATATCAAAGAGTACGAATCATTCACGAGCATACCTCAACACACATCTCAAACTCAACTAACACTTTGACTAGAAAATATGATACATGCTTCCTGAAATGGTACAGCGAAAGTAAGGCTCATACTTCATACCCCAGATAAGCGTATAACTCATCAAAGATCCGCAGAATACCTCCGTGGCAACACCGCTTCCAATGATTGCGACGAGCTTTTCAAAAAGTACAGGGCTTGTCTGAATGTATGACCCTGTTCAAAGCGGCCCCCAAACAAGTTACCTGGCTAATTTTGTCTAAAAGCTCGCACTGAAAGAACGAGGTATCGACACGATGCTCGATGATGCTCGTAAGAGCACGAAGGACAGCGAAGCTGAATACATGCGGAAAAGCTGATGCGTTGTATTCATGACTTTTATCTGTTCCCTCTTTCTTTCTCTGCTTCTCCTCTTTTGACGATTCTTTGCATTAGAGATGTTTGTTATGATGGCCATCTCCTCTCCGACGATATGGGGCCAGCCGGCAGCAAGGCCCATGAATTCCGCCGAGCAAGCACTCATCTCATCTCATTTCTGTGCTATGTCAGACTCTCATATTAGGACTTACAAGTCTACTGGAGAACAAGTCCATTCTGTATTATTATCATATGTCATTTTGGCGTTTTGGGTGCATCTCTTTAGACGCTTTTGCTCTCATGGCAGGAGTTTAACTGTGGCATCGAACATTCCTGTTGTATCTAGCTACATGTACTATATACGAAGCATATATTTAAGTTTTACACCTGGTCTGGCAACCCGACTGCTCTATATCGTATATCAACATTATATACTAGATTATAATCTAATGCGGCATGATTCATTACTATCGGTGCCCTCGCCTCCTCAATTCGCCCTGCCCAAACGCACCTGGAACCTTCAGGATCCCGTTTGCTGCAGTACCCATGCCTCCAACCATAGATGAGGAGCTGCTGCTGCTACTGCTAGTCTTGCGAGGCTGTGTCAGCATTGACCATACTTCGGTCATGCTCGCCCGGCGCGCAGGAAGCATGCTGTACTGCATGCCGTATAGGTTGCGACGGTGTATAGGAGGCACAAAGCGGCCGGTCACAAGGCAGAAGATGACTTGTGGGGAAAGGTAATGTTTCCGTAGGCGATGACCCAGTTGGAAGTACTGGTCGAACATGGCACGGAGGGTAAGAGGGATAGACTATCCGGATTAGCGCTTGATGGCTCAACGGGGAAGAGGGTTGCTAACCTCAAGGTGTATATAAGGCACACTGACGCTTGACTTGCTTGTCGAAGACTTGTCGTGCTCTTCGCGAAGCTCGAAACGTATTCCACCTGAGCATGCAATTAGCTAACTAGCCTTTTGTGGGAGGGGAAGGTAACACACCTGGCAGTCTCCGTGAGTCCTTGACTCTGAGCATCAGTGCAAAAAGTGGAAAGTGGTTCAAGAAGGCCAAGCAGGTATCGAGCACTGCCTTAAGCGAAATGATCAACATCCGCGCGCTGGCAAACGCGAGATAGAAGACAATAACAGTGGGTAGAAGGAAGAAGAGAACGGTGAACAAGATGGTTCCAAGAAGTAGTTGGTCAAGATCGTAATCGCATGAGTCTATACGGTTGCGAAGCACGTTTCGCTTCTTGCCGCGGAAAAGATGGAAAAGAGAGATAATGATGGTAAGTTGCCAGTTGAAGATCCGTGCAGATGCGATGTAGAAGGAGTAGATATGCACTGTCAATATAGATATGAGGTCGGAAAACAGGGCAATTGGCATGCTTGCCCCGGCGAAACTGGAACAGCCGACGACGTAAATGATGTGTGGTAGGTAGGGTTGCAGGTTGGCGATGCAAGCTTCTATCGGTTAGCCCGTATCAATCACCTGAGTGACTAGAAATCTGAAGCTTACCTGCCCAGTTCTCAATGACCCACAAGAAAAGATCACCCAAGAACGCGGCGAGTTCATTGTTGAGCTTAAGACCAGCCGGCCAGTCCATGAGCCAGGAAATAGTACCCTGTAGCCCTTCCACCGTATAGCCTGTCAAAATGAAACTGATCTGAAAGGCCACCCAGTTGGCGTTGTCGATGATGTATGACCCCAATGCGATGCCAATAATCACGTCGTTGGCGACGAGCCACAAGCTGTTGTAGAAGCGAATGTAGTCCGGATGACTCGTAGTCACACTCTCCCAATTATCTTTCCTCTGTCGTAGTTTCACATATTGTATTGGCCAATAACAGAACTGTTGGAGTCGAATATCCACCTGCTGAGCTGTCGCAGATATGTCTTTAAGAGCAGCGGCATCAGGACGAGCTCGCCATTCTAGAATCTGCAGGACAATCTCTGCAATCGTGCGATGGAAAACAAGCCCAACAATGAATATGCGGGTAATTACAGGCCATATCCACTGCCAGAAGACATAGGAAACGCCGAGAACGAAGAGATCCCATAGCGTAGTAGCAGATTCTACAACCCGCTCACCCACACTCATGCTTCTCTTGACACGGATGCCCACCAGATGGCTATTCTTCTCCATAAGCTTCCCCATCTCATACGCGCAGTTGACCTGGTTGATGATGAGGGGAAGTGCCTGTTCTTTAGACGACGGGACATGTTTGACTACCGTGTGAAGCTTCAACTTCTCCACCAGCATTCCAGCCTGAGCCTTGTCCGACTCCTCTTCGGTATCGATCTTATTAGACACAGCATCTGACTTATCTGAGCCAAACACCTTGTCGCCCAATGCTAGAGAGATTGGCTCCAGAGACATGTACTCCATCCTAGTCGGATGGGGCCGATGAAACATGATAACCTGGACAGACAGGTTTGTTTCCGGCGGACAGAAAATCCGAGGAACCTTGCCCGACGAACTCGTAGTAACATAAAGATGTGACGGATTGAAGGCCGTTGGCGGATCTGGCGAGTTTGTTGATCCTAGGACATGCATAGCCGAGCGTCCACATAGAGCGAATATGCGCACGATAGGATGGGGGCTATTGCGGAAGAGAATACCCGCCCGCAAAGCGTTGTCGACATTCCGGGGCTATTGGCTAAATGTTAGCTGCCTCTCACCCTAAGCATGAATGCAGTATAACCCGATATTACCTCGACATCTTCCAAGACCGTCAGAACAAAAAAGTCCACCTCTGAATTCCGCCACCCAACAATTACTCCTGGCGACGATGATCGGGGAAGATCGTATGGCCAAAATACCCGTAGCAACCCATCGCTCATGAGCATGTTGACATCCTCCAACCGCGTTTAGAAGGAGCCTCGACGGCGGAGTTGTTCGCGAGCGGAGACGCCCAGGTGCACGTATCGAGGGTGCTAATCAAGAATATCAGCCTCGTTCGGGACCTCATAGCTGTTTGGCCGTTCCGCAACAGCACGGCCAGCCAGCCACTGCGATAGTAGCATACCAATTCACCCTCAGTCGCAGCTATATGGTTGATAGGAAGGACGAGGAGGAAGAAAAATACTGATAAAAGGAGGAAACCCTTTGCTGTCCGTGTCTGTTGTCGAGTGAGGAAGTTAGTCCGTCCGTTGTTCGGATACCGCGAATGCGCGTAGGAACAGATAGCAGAACACAAGCATACCACAACGCCGTGATCCCACGCAAATATGGCCAATTCGTACAGGCGAGTAACAAGATCCCACCTCGCGGTGATGTAGCCCGCTACGAAGATACCGAGAGTGAGGATGGAAAAGGGGTGCATGAATCAAGCTGTCCGGCGGGTGGTCGCTTCAGTTTGCGCGCATTGCTGAGGGGAATGAAGAGGACTGGAAGCGGAAGCGAAATTGCCGAAAAAGAGTGACGATCGCACAAAACAGGCTGGCGAGTCCGACAAGAGAAGATCAAAGACAATGGAAGCTACTGAATTGACCGGCAAGCTGAAAGTCTTAAGGCACGGAGTGGGCAATGGGGAAGATGCGGACCGCAACCCTGAGGCGTCTAGATCTCCGCGGTTCCACGTGACTGGGTATACATCTAGGCTACTACACATCAGATGAAGAAGATTTAAGGCATGCTTTTGTATTGTGCGCCTTGAACTGAATTAAACAAGAAAAAATATTTCTATACCTATACCCATGACCCATGAAAACATACAATTAATCCCCATTCCGAACTCCCAGCCGCTGTAAACCCGAATGGCAGCAAATCCATACCATGACTACAAAGCTTTGATGCCCTGGAACACTTTGTTCGCCTGTAACTTCGGATCACTGTTGACAAGATCGCGCATGATCTGGCGCTTTTCTTCAACCGTCAGGTCCTTGCCAGGTGCCTCAATAGCTTCCTTCCATTTCAGCAACATATCCTTGAGGAGAGCACTGCCCTCTTCAACTTCTTCCTGGGAGTACTTGTCAAGTGACATGGACTCTTTTTCCTGTGCCCCAGAGGAGGTGAAGTCCTCAAGCTCATCTGCCTTTTGTCGCGCCATGTTGACTACCTTCTCCGGAAAGCGGACCAATTCAGCAACGTGAATACCGAAGGACTGGTCGCAGATGCCCGGTTCGACACGGTACAGCAACGTAACCTGGTCTCGCTTCGAGTCTTTGCTGTCCTCCTCATTGCCCGTGCCATCACCAATAAAAGCCACTACATGTAGGTTCTTGGCTGACTTCGGGTACCGATCGGCCAGGGCCGTCAATTCGTGGAAGTGGGTTGCGAACAGGCCGAAACAGCGAATCTCAGTGACGATGTGCTCTGAGATAGCCCATGCAAGGCCGAATCCATCGTATGTACTTGTTCCGCGACCAAGTTCATCGATGATGATCAATGACTCCGAGGTCGCGGACTTGAGGATGTTGGAGGTCTCAAGCATCTCAGCCATGAAAGTCGACACACCCTTGAGCTGCGAGTCACTCGCACCAACACGAGCAAGAATGCAGTCGAAAATAGTCAGCTCCGCCTCGGAGCATGGCACGAAGCATCCAGTCTGGGCCATCAGCGCAATGACGCCAATCTGTCGGATGTAGGTCGATTTACCACCCATATTGGGACCGGTAATGATCAGGAAGGAAGACTCATCACGGATGAGCGACACGTCGTTGGTGATAAAAGAGATGTCATCCTGCATTTCCATACAAGGATGCCGGGCCTCCTTCAGAACCGTGTTTCCAGTACCACGCGGGTGAATCTTGGGACGGACATATGGTGTAGGGGCGTGCACGGCACAATGCGCGAAGCTCACAATGACATCGAGGTGAGCCAAAACGCCAGCAAGCTGCTCAAGGACAGGGCAGTAGGAGGCAGCCACACCAACAACCTCGCTCACCAAACCAGTCTGAGTGCGATTGTAGTTAGATGACAGCTGGTCGTGCTCGCGACGGAGCGCCTGCATTGTCGAGGTCGTAAAGTAGACACCGTTCTTCTGAGTTGAGCACTCCTGGTACTCTCTTTTGTTGCGAATACAGCCCGCCTCGTTGCGAGTCAATCGGAAGCACCAGCCATGCACACGATGATTCTCCAGGAACAGCTTCTTGTCAACTTCTTGGTCCAGATCCCCGCCCACACGACGGTGTTCCGAGTCCATGTCGTGACGCAGCTTATCCAGCTTCTTGCGAATGATGCGCAAGCTCTCATCAAACTCCGGCTTAATAATGAACTCGTGGTTCTCCAATGCATCCAAGTCCACCGTCGTCTCAACCATCTCCTCCAGCTTTGCCAGGTTATCGGAATGGCTGCGCAGCTTGGACGTATACTCCGCTTCCAGAGGCGTCTGATACTGTTCATCCATCACATTCTCCAGTGACGCAACAAAGCCTGGCAGGCGAATGGCAACCTGATAAACACGCACGACATCCTCCAGTGTCGCCTGCTTCCTCTGAAACCGCTTCGCCAAGCGATACAAATCCGGGATCGAGCGCAAATGCTCCTCCTGCATAGTCTGCCGAAGTTCCGTGTCCATCACAAACGACTCCACCAGCTGCTGTCTCTTCTCAATCTCAGCTTTATCCATTAGCGGCTGCTTCAACCACTGCGCCAGCAGCCTGCTGCCCACCGGCGTCTTACAATGATTCAGCAACCCAAACAAACTCATCGACTTAGATCCGTCCCGCGGACCCGGCATGAGATTCAACGCCCTCAGCGCCGACGAATCCAGCTTCATGAATTGCGACAGATCATGCTGATAGAGACGATACTGGCCGAAGTTGGACGGATCCGTCATAACACCCAGATACTTGATCAACGCCGCCGCGGATCCCATCGCCAACTTCAACTCAGTCTGAGGCAGCGTCCCGGCAGACCTCTCATCCCTCAACAACCTCGTCAAGTCCTGCTCGATATCCCTAACCCCGAAATCACCGCTGTGCCTCTCCGACACGGCAATCCCACAACTATCCATGATATTCCTCACCTTCCCCAATTCCACATCCTTCCTCCCCGCATCCATCTGCACAAGACACTCCTTCACCCCCAGCTGAATGACCAGCGACTCCAGATTCGAATAAACATCATTATCCAAGAATTCACTCACACCCAACTCCCTTACACTCGCATCCGCAAAACAAACCCCCACACTTCTCGCCTCCCCGGCCTTTGCAGAAATCTTCACAGCCAGAATGATCGGCGCTCCAGCCTCAATATTCAGCCCACCTACACTCCCCAGTTCTTCTTCCACATCCTGCAAGTTCCCCGGACTCGCCTGCTTAATGAGCTTCCACTGTCCGCCGCGCCCGCTCGCAGAGCCCCAGATCTCCACTCGCCGATTGAGTCGGAATAGCGCCTCGCGTAAGAAATTGCGGAATACAGTCACGCTCATCGTCACGGAGGGCAGGCCGCCTGTGTCGCTGCGGCCCAGATTGCGGATCACAGAGGTGGTTTTGTAGACGGTGCGGGCGATGAATTCAGCTTCGGCACCGTGGGCGGAGTACCAGTCTCCGCGGTCGAAAACTCGAATGGTCTCATTGTTGTTGTTGTCATTGTCAGAGGAGGAGGAAATGGAACGATAGAAGCGGATGAAGCCGACTTCGTCGTCCACCTAGACAGTGTAATTAGTTTAATGTTAGCCGATTTTTCTCTTCTTAAGTTCCTAAAACAGGTAGAGCTTACCTTGAGATCTGGTCGAGATGACATGGTGCTATAGTCTATCTCCAACGAGGAAAGAGACTTGTGCGCCTGCTTGTCGGTCGTTGGAGTGGATGGGCTCAAAGCTGAGCTGCGGATAGTTGATAGTTGATAGGTATGGCTGCCGACGCGCTGCGGGAAACGCGGTCACGTGCATACGCGTCCGCGCGCCGGGTCAATTAAGGGATCTGCTGCCTGAGGTAGAAACATTAGGATGGATTACTGAGTGGGATAGGCTTGGTATTAGATGTTGAAAGGCACAGAGTCATAGTTTTAATGTTTGTTTTTATACTATCATTACATACATATGCTAATGCTACATACCGCTGACAATGCAATCATAATGCCGGAGGCATACCAGGCCACCCGGATGAGGTATCAAGAAGAACATCCATCCAAACGAAAGACACATCGGTATCCAACGTAAATCAGTTAAGCGGCAGAGATAATTGTCTTCTGCGCCTCAGTCCCTTCCCACCCAAGCTTCAACTGGGCCACCTTGGCTCCAATCTCCTTGGGCTGGACATCCGCACATGATTTGAGAACCACAGACTTCATCTGATTCACCGTGACGAGATTCACCCACTCCCCAGCAACATCCTCCCGGGCTAGAATCTCCAAACAAATTTCCACCTCCTGCTGGGAAATCGGACTCCGTGCCGAGTCCTGGACATTCTGCGCAATCATCTCCATCCGAAATGGAGTCCGCTGCGCAGCCATCACAGCCTTCGCCCCGGTCCCAACATACCCAGCAGGTCTCAGCAGTGCCAAAACTCCCGCAACCTCCTCCACGCGCTCCGCAGCTGCCCTCCTCAACAACTCCTGCTTCGACGGCGGGGGTGGCAGCTTCGCCTGCCGCAGCTGCTTATCCTTAATGCGCTCCAGTAGCCCCTTCCGGCGCGTACTTGCCGCATCGATCGGTTTCTCTGGCGCATCATCCTTCCCATCCGCACGCAACTTCTCCGTCTTCAACCGAATAACTCCACCCTTCAAGTCCTGCAACCGCTGCTGTCCCTTCCGGAACGTGGTAAACGGCGTCAACGACTCATGGATCATCGCGACTCCCAGCGTGTTGACGAAATCCACCCTCGACTCGTCTCCGTCCACCGCATCCAATGCTTTCTCCCAGAGAAGGTCCACACTCTGCTCGAATCGCTCTTGCAATTCATTCTCGCTCGCCCGCTCCTCACCCTCCCGTGCAATTCGCTCCAAGCACACCCTTCCCAGTCCATAATTCGCGATCCGATATCCGGGAAACGCTGTCGATGATGGCTCCTGATCCAAAACCCAGACAAGTCGTTGAAGATCCTTGACTACCACCTTCCGCTTCTTCCAGAGTCGTTCAATGGTAGGGAGCAGTTCTCTCAGGTCGGCAGGGGCAGAAACACCATTGTGCATAGCATGCAGCGCAACAGCTTTCAGAAACGCCGCATGCAGATTTACAAAGTCCTCCACAGATGCTGCACGACGATTCACAGGAGCCGGCTTTTTTGTTGTCTTCCTAGTACCTGCGCGCTTCGAGGGGGTACCCGGCGGCTGCTCAGTAACGGCAGTAGCAGCCGAGCCGCTCCTCCTCACTGACACCGGTGACCGTGCATAATGACCACTTCTAGGCGTATTCAGGGTCAATTCGCCCAATCGAAGAGTCTTGGAAGGCGTGACTGCATCCGTGCTTTCCGGTCCCTGGGGACCCCGACAGTCGACGTTCTCGAGCTCGACCAGTTTGCGTTTCTTGGAAGGCGTGACCGGGACATTGATCGTTGTGGTTGTCGTAGAGGGCTTCTTAATATCCGATAGGGAGGAAGGAGCTACAACGCCCGGCTTGGTTGCTCTTGCGAAGTTCTGGATCCCCGGTTGCTGCTGCTGTTGCAGCCCCCGGGCTGCCTGCCTTGTGGAATAGCTGCGCGGCATCGCGGTTTCCGAGGATTAAAATGAGGAAATTAAGGGATAGGAGTCCTATTGGCGTATCATAGAGTAATTATTAAAGAATTAAACCCTGTAGATAAGATAGGATAGAAGTGGTAGTGTAAGTATGGGAAGACTGGGGAAGAAGAAGATAATGAGTGTTAGAGAAAATCCACTAAAACGGGGAATGATTATTCTTTTTTCTTAAGGGATGGGCTGGATGGATGGGTAACAGCGGGTAGCGTGGATTTTAGGTGGAGATCGCGCGCGACGCGATCAAGTCGCGTTTTGGTCTTTTAGCGTATCCGAGCTGTCCGGATGGGGTAATATTAGTTTTGAGTTGGGGTCATGATACATTGACTTTTGATGAATGCAGGAGAGAATTATATCATTCACTCGTTCACTTGGGGGGATTTGTTGTTTTCTCAATAGTAGCCATGCTTCCTTGTCTACAGATGAATGAATGAATGAATGAATGTATGTATGTAGATGCTGCTCCCCCATCACTAGAGCAATAATCAGCTTCGGAATGCAGCATACCGTAACCCCCCCGCACTGTTACTGCTGCAGATTGACGGAGGTATGCTCTAGAACATTGCTCCCTCTCCACTATTTTCATACTTTAGTTCTAGACAGATAGCTAGTAGGGATTAGACTAGTCAGTCACTCCATATCTAACTTTACTTACTTGGTCCGTCAAACTCTTACCTCGAACACACTACGTAACTATTCCCACTAAACCACATCCTAACACATACAGACAACAATATCCAGAAAGACAGAAAGGAGGATAGACAAATGCATCATTCATTAACACCGGTTATGACAATCAGCGTCAACCCCAAAGGTGAGTTAGGTTAGATAGGTACATAAACACACCCCCAGACAAGACAAGACAAGACACTCGTCATTCTTATCATCATAATAATTATAAAAAAAATAGATGCGTGTTAAAGAGCATCATAAAGCCCAGCCCAGCTAAGCTCCATTTTCAATCCACCTCCCTACCCTTACCCAGGTACTTCCTCCTCGTCATCAATCATATAGATTATTTCAGGGATAGATTATTTCTTCCCCCCAAACCAACCCGACACCGTCCCCTTCGCCTCAGCCGCCTTCTCCTCCACCTTACCCTCCAACTTCTCGGCGCCTGAGCGCAACTCGGCCGTCGTGTCGCGACCAATCTTCTCCAGACGGTTCATGCTGTCTTTGGCGTCTTTGCTGGCGGTGTCGATCTATCACCATCACCAAGATATCATCAGCATTGATTCATGCCATGAAATAACAGTGTAAGAAAGTAAGGGTTAACATACCGCCTCATCAACATTCAACCGTGTCTCATACGCTGCCTTTTCACCTGCCTTTTCGGCTTGATCGCCTGTGGGTGCCTTGAGACGGGCGAGGTGGGCGTCATCTACACACAAGACATTAGCCAACAAACATCAACACAATACAACGAAAAGAAAGGGGAGTAGCATACGCCTCATCTCCTCCTTAGCAACCTTGGGATCGCCTCCAGCGCGGTACATGTAGTAGCCACCGGCGCCGAGGGCAGCAATGCCAAGGTAGAGGGCGGTAGGGTTCTTCGACATGGTGAGGATGAGATAGTAGTAGTTGTTGTTGTTGGTTTTGTATGTGTGGATGGTATGTATTGATCACTTTCTTCGGATATAGACAATTCGAATGCTTGCAACTTGAATGAATCCGGTACACGAGGGACAGAACAGGTACTTATAGATTGTAGATGGTGAAGTGAAGTTGGAAAATGAACTTTGGTTGTAGCTGGGCAGAGAAGTAAATGAGTGGCTAGGCAGTGTCACAGGGTATGACGTCTTTGGAAGTGGTCCGGCTTCGGTCCTCTTCTCCTCTCCTCAGGTGGTGCAGGCGGCTTTTTTTTTTTTTTTTTTTTTTTTTTTTTTTTTTTTTTTTTTTTTTTTGGTTGTCCTTACGGATTACAGAGTGTATTTGCTTGTGCGAATCAGCTAATCTAGGCTATTGTTTCTAATCTAGGGGTATGTATTTTTTACTACTTCCCGCATATATTGTCTATGTAGTAGGGAAAATGTTAACTGTGTTTGCAGGTGCAGATGGAGTAGCTACGGAAGCTATGCTGCTGCGGCCGGAGTGCGCGGCGAGGATCGGCTGCGGGACCGCCACTACGTCACTGCAAGGTCATCGGGTCCAACGGCTTCCATGACCCAGCTCTTCTTGCTTCTTGAGACAGTACTAAGGAAGGACACGGGGTAAATGTTGCTGGGGAAGTGGGCGGGTGTGAATCGAACACGTCATGATGGGGTTGTAGTTATCTGCTCCTTGCTGAACCAGTTACGGTGGGCTACAAACAACTATGCTCTATACTCCGATTACACTGGGAAATGAAGGCATTGGATCTCTGACATTTATCACTTTACCCGCAGCTGGTTGCTAATTGAATCCCCACTGTTGCAGAAAATAGACACATATAATGAAATACACAGAGGGCCACACTCGGACACCGTAAGGAGAGCACAATGGAAAAATATAGACAGAAGCCGAACACACAATCGAAGCCACACCACGACCAGAGTAGGAGACTCCTTCCATAACCTCGTAGCTGAGCTCGAGATCAAGGCCGGGGGGTATCTTCATGCACTATGGACAGCAGACCGGAGGTGAGGAACGCCAAAACATGCAACCGGATAAAGAAAAAAAAAAAAGAAAAATCAACGGACAAAAAAAAAAAAAAAGAAAACACCCGAACGAAGACACAGCAATTGTCAGAGAAGCCCATATATCGATCCAACCCACTGATGCATTATTCGTCAGTCATCACATCATAAAGATCCCCGCAGCCGAGCGGTGGTGTGCAGCTCCGAGTAACGAGAGGCTAAGTATCTAGCAATCCGCAGTTATATCAAGAACAAAGAAAATGTAGAGGATCTTCCAGAAGGAAAAAGACCGGGCGCCCCGTACTATACAACTCCGGCTCGAAACAAAAGAGGAAATGGCGGGAAAACCGAGAACGATCGACTTCGGAATTGAAACCACTCTGCCCCCTGCACGCAGAGGACATCCCAACAACATGCTCACACCAAAACTTCTTCACAGGAACAGCTTCGCTGCACTTTTGTTTTCACTCGTGGCAACGGCAACCAGTGCCTCCAGCCGGCCCATTCCAGGCTCTCGGGCGGTATGGGGCAGGAATTCGGACCGTGGATCATGTTTGCCGTGATAGCTATCGGTCTGTGGGGGAAGCGGGGGACAGGCCTGCAGTTCAATCAGTGATTTGGCCCTCAGCGATACTCCGGGTAACGGGTGCGTACTGCATGAGAAGTATCGGATGAAAACGGGGGGTGGTGCGGCTCCACGTATCCATTGTTGTGCACAATGGCGGGGTGGTATTCAAGGGACGCAGTTGAAGGAGTGTGTACCCCTTCGCTGCTACTCGAGTCCTCGGGCGAAGTTCGCGTCGCCTGAGAGCTCGAGGTAGCATTGCTGTAGGAGGGAGCATGCCCATGTCCTCGGTACTCGTGGAACTGTGGCTGGTACGAAGACGAGGGGCGAGATCCCACATTGTGAATCTCCGCAATAGTCTGCTGGCTCCAGTTCGATGCGTCCCGCTGTGGAGGCTTGTCTCTGATGTGCAGGCCAGTAAGGTTCGTGTGCAATGACATGTCCCAAGAGACATGACCCCGTCGGTGGCCAGGGCCCGAGATTGGCGGTGCCGGTCGTTTGGCCGGCTGTGTGTAGTTGTAACCCCCGGCAATGTTATAATTTGGAGGAGGCTTGTTAGGGTTGTCGATTTGCATCGGACTCGACCGCCGAACGGGCGGGGTCAAGGGTCTTTGAGCCACTACCTTATCAAAGCTCTCAATTCCTGGCAGCCGCGGTGGCTGCTCTGCTGATCCATTGGCGCCAAAAGATGGCTTAAACACTTCTGGCGTCTGGTAGTTGCTAAGGCCGCTCGTAGCAGGCCGAGGGACCGTGGACCAGGTTGAAGGATGCCAGGTCCTTCTCCTGAGATCAGCATCGGTAGCGCCGTGACTTGTTTCGTCGCGGGAGAGTGAGTATGACGAGCTGACAGGGCTCGCGTAGACGCCTCCATGGGGACCGTACGCTTGCGTTGGAACGTAGTTCGGTGGGTAGGCATTGACGTGCTGCGACGCAAATGGGTTCGCACCCGTAGGCACGGAGAGACGGCGGGCGGCAGTTTTGCCTTCCCAGAAGCCCGAGGCCTGTGATGCAGTAGAGATGGGGGAAGCCACGTGCGGACTGCCGTTGCCGCCCGCTGAGAAGATGTGGTGAGACGGCGTGTAGGGAGATCCGCCGGCTGCTGGGCCAGGTATTCCGCGGGCTGGTGGCGTGCTAGGGGCATCCATCGGCTCCATCAGACGCGCCCTATCATTCGCCATCATCAAGGGTGGAGGTCGGCGACGAAGCTCCTGGGGCTGACTGAAGGTGGACGCAGTTGAGGTAATACTCGAGGCAGAAAGGTTTCGACTGTGACCTCGACTATGGGTTCCCTGACTGCCCGCGGTTCCTGCTCTAGCTCGACCCTGGGGTCGTACACGGTCTGTCCGAATCTGACGCTGGAACCGTGTTCCAGTGGCTGCAAGAGAGTCTCCAGGGATTTCTTCGTTGACGTGCACCGTCTGAGCATGCTGTCGCAAATTGTCGAGGCGGGAAAAGCGACGTGAACAGTGACACTGAAAGGGACGTTCCCCGGTATGTTTGCGGATATGTCGAGCGAGATGTTCACTCCGTGTAAAACTCAGGTTACAGGGTGGGAAGTCTGTGCAATAGAATCGCTGACCCTTCTTCTTCTTCGAAGGTGGAGCGCCACCCTTGTTTTCCGCCTCATGTTCAGATCCTTCGTCCGACTCACCGTGTACGGCATCGTCTGAGGTCAGCGATGCACTCCCCTGGGAATCGGCATGGTGATGTGAGTCTTCGATGCTATTTATATTCCGAGGCGTGCTCTCGTCATGGGCGGCGATCATGGACGAAGTCGTATCTTGGGGCGCCGCGCTGGGCTTGGCATGAGGGCGTGGTGTGGAAGATGTTGTCGCCTCCTCCATGACGCGGTCCGGCGGCGATGAAATATTATTCACAGGTAAGAATGAAGACATATTGACAGCGAGGGCAACCCTCGACTCCACCGAGTAGTCTATGTACTGTTCCGAAAACCGTCAGGCGAGCGATCGACGGGATGCGAGCTCGAGCCGTTTCAAGGGCGAAAGATGGAGGTTTCAAGATGTCAAAAACGCGGTGTCGATCGCACGATGCTGACTACTGGACAAATGTGCGCAGCAATGTAAGCAAATGAACCATCGTGTTTAAACATAATTTCCTTTATGAATAAAATTTACCACCTCAAAAAGAAGGCGTAAACATTACCAGCAAGGGAGTAGTGAGGGGGATCGTTTTGGTTTCTGGGACCAGGCGAACGAGGAGGGGGGAGAAAAAAAACGATTTTTGGAAAACTTACGAAGGAGGGGAGGTAACTCAAGGTGTTTCGAAATCCGAGCGAGGGGTTGAAAATTGAGGAATGTTGGAGACAAATGGCGATGACCTGTTTAGCCGAATGCCCGACGAAGATGGCGAAGCAAGGGTAGCCAGGTTGTACACGATAGATGGAAGGGCACGACCATTAGGTGTGAGGACGCATCGCTCACAGATCGACCTGGCCGAGAGGAGGTAGGGACAGCTGGTTGATCGACCGACAGATAAGACTGGTGGACTAGACGGGCAGAAGGATAGGATGACGGAGAAGGGAGGGAGGTGAGTCGGTGATCACTAATAGGAAAAGAGGCGGCGGCGACGGCGGAGGATGAGGACGTGGTAGTTGGTGGTGGTGGTCAGCGGTGGTTGTTTGGAGAGATTTGGCGGACTCAATCGAGTTTCCCGCCGACGTCGAGTCCTGGTTGTGGGTATGACAGTCAGGACACCGACCCAGCCAAGACCTGAACTAATGGCAATAAAAATAGGTGTATCGCGAACCGATCGGGCCCCTGGTTTACGGATCGTCCGGGGAGAAACCAGGCATGCACAACGGAAACAATAAACGGAGAAGTCAAATGAAAATAGAACAGGATGAAAAAAGAAAGAAAGAAAAACAACCAAAATCAGAAACTAAAATGTGATATGGATTGCCCAAAAAAATCAAAAATTGTATGAATCATATAAATAGTATAGGGACAAAACCAACCAGGTCCAAGCTAGGCTGGGCACTAGTAAGAGATGATGTACAGGCACCAGGGCAACGAGGGGCGGTGATGGATGGGAAGGATGAGGGGAGGGGGGAGGGGGGGGTGGTGTGTTGGAAAGGCTGGAAAAAGAAGGATGGGAAGAATGGAAAGGGAAGAAGGATGATGGTCAGAGGGTGAGACGGGAAAGTAAAGTAAGTAGGCACAGGAAAAGAACAACAAGAAAGGAAGAAGAGGAGGCTGATGGATCCCAAACTTTAGATTGGAGGGAAGGGAAGGGCGAGAGTCCATACAAGTAGAGTGTAGCCTGTAACCAGGATGAAGATGACGGCAACCCACCACCCCAAACAGGTGAATGGTGACGACGATAGTGCCGGGCGTCAGGACCCCAGCAGAAACACTTCAGGAGATGGAGAAGCAGCTGGAGGCTGATCGGAAACAACGGTCGATTCGGCAGCGGGCGGCGAAACGAGGGGCACAGACAGGGAAGGATGAAAAGAAGAAGAGTAGTGAAGTGAGTAATGAGAAGATAGTTTGATTGTAGATGATAGTAGGATGAGAAGAAAGAGTAGGTGAGGAGAGAGAGAGAGAGAGAGAGGGAGAGAGGGTCAAGAAAGAGACGAAACAAGCGTCAAGAGGAGGGGGGAAAACCGGTGGAGAGAGTAAGAGTTACTACTAAGTAGTAAGTAGTGGTGGTAGATAGTGGTAGTGGTAGTGGTAGTGGTAAGAGTAAGTATAAAGTAGAAAACTTATCCAGAAAGAGTAAGAATCCTTATTTTACTTAATTTTTCTTTCTTGTCTTTTCCCCCCTTTGGGTACCCAGACAAATTTACCCTACAAAAAACCACCATCGATTCGAGACTACAAGGCTGAGTACCTTCGGTCGGGGGTACAGGGTACTTAGATAGAGAGCGGCGACTTGGSCAGTCACCGCCGCGATGCTACGTACGATCGTGGGAGAGAGGAACGGATAGCGCCTAAGTTTACAGTTTGATCAACATGACGGTGACGATGCGGATTTGTCCTCTATTGAGTTCGGGCGAATAATGAACTCACCGGGGGGTTGAGACTGAAGGTTGATAGGTAAACTCTTTTAGCCCCAGGTACTGACGACTTGGTCCGGACCGATGGACACGAATCATCGATCGCAAGACCGGTGGAGATGCTCCAGTTGGATGAATTCATGAGCCAGTCTCGCCGACGGTTGGAGCCTTGGATTTGCCTGAGCGATGGGAAGTTGACTGTAGGATTCTGTTTCATCGAGTGGTCATCGGTCGGCACTCCCGGTCTCTTGTCCCCTCCAGACAGACTATACATACGAGGAAAAGGGGAAAAGATATGAGTCTATCTACGAGACAATGTACCTGATACCGCGATATCGCGAGATTGGAGGTATCCCAGGGAGACAGAAATGAGAGGATGGACACCCCGAATCATTACCGCTCGTACGCGCCGGTATGAACCCCGTATCAGGAACCCAGCGCTTAGCAATCGCCAGAGTAGGAGGCGGGCACAAGATGGGCTGGCTGCGAGGGCCCCTTCCAAGGGTTTGAACATTTTCGAGAACCCAAATCCAATTCCAATCCGGGTGAATGGGCTTCTTTCGTGATGTTTCTCGGTAAGGCTGGCTAAACTGGCCCCAAAAGAAGTTCTCGGCCCAGGTCTGTCTGGAGCGGTGCCATGGTCGTCTGGATCAAGGGTCCTTCTTGGACAGTTCATAAAACGGAGGAGGCCCGTCCAAGAGATGGTGAGGCACCAGGCACTGCGGCCAGTGGGGCACCGCAGAGGGAGGGGATCGATCGGCTACTTTTTCCCGGTGCCAGGGCTGCCCGTCAACTGGACGGATTACTGTTTGATGAATCATGAATCGTTCTTGCCCGGCTGAGTCCAGGTGCTGACCAGAAATCCTCCGCGGATGGACCACGGGCGGCGACTCGCGGTGACGTTAACCACTCAATGCTCCCTCGCCCCTTTGTCTGGTAAGTTTGACCGGTGACAAGAACCCCAGCCCAGATCTACTCTCTTTGCCTTTGGTCTGTCCACCATCCAGACTTCCGTCCGTGAGTTTGGAGGAAAAGAAGGCCTGAGCCAAATGTCGCGGTGTAGAGTGTGCCATGTCTCGTGGCGTGGCACAGAGCGGCGTTACCGGCCAGTCCGGGGGTTCGAGAGGGGGAGAAGGAAAGAAAATGAAACGGGGAAAGTGACTAACTGCCTAGAGACACACTGACTGACTGACTAGACACCGTATAGACTAAACGGATTAAAGGTACATGAAGATCCACCTTTCTGTCAGTGTGGACGGTATATTGTGAGATCTAGGCTGCAATGCTGCAGGAGAGGGGAGGCACAGGGTGCGACGACTGCGTAAGCCGGCCAACGCCTGACTGGATTATCAAACGGCCCAAAGACAGCAGGATTCAGCATGGAATACGAACGGAATGTCGCACAATGGGTTCCGGGGCTTCCACACCTGCAGTTGAGGTAGAATTCTCCGGGCCGAACGCTGCAGTACCTTACATCGGCCTCGTCACAAATTCATGTTCTCGCCGGTATACTGCTGAGTAGTCCGTCGAGACGTCTGAGTGCCATCTCAATCAACTGCACACTCTATTTGAGACGCTCATCCCGTTTCATTACCCCACCACCAAGGACGATTAGCAGTATCGTCATAGCAATGTCGATGTTATAATAGCAGTGATATACGTCAGGCCCGAACTAACTGGCTTGAAGCTTGTTCCTGATTAACGAAGAGCACAGCATTAACCCCCCAGCAGGATCCATCATGGCCGCGTTCAGGACATTGATAAGGTTCCTCCTTGAACTTAAGACTCCGGTGGACAATAGTGATTCAGTTCAATTAGACTCTGGGGAAAACCTGGAGCAAAGTCAAAGTAGGACACCCAGCTGCTGCACGCATCTCCTAGCCAACCTATCTAGCAACTGCAAACGGCACGGGAAGCTATGGAAGCTTCTTCATCGCGTCTATGACCTTTGGTTGATGCGGGACAAAGAGGAGTCCATCTGGGGGTGCACGCGGACAGTTAACGCCACATGCTAGAGTGATGATGTGCTCCCCGGTATGGAGATTGGAGAAGAAACAGCGCACCGGTTGACAGCAGCTCTCCCTGGAATCCCCATGCGCGGGGATCCTTAGCCTGAAGCATGGAAGAGATAACCCAAGTAGGGGAAGCACCGTGCTTATAGGACGTCGGAGTATAGGCCTGCGAGCCTCGCGAAAGTTACTTTACCGTGATGAGTAAAGATGTGAACAATGCATTAGTCTCCCGCACTGGCTTTATTGATGGGATCGTGGGGGTTTTACTACCGTGTATCCTTCTCTCTAGCCCAGACTGGCAGCCAATTTCCAGCTGTTTTTGGAAATCCTCAAGTTCAGCAGACAGACTGTCCATCCCAGGCCGTGCTATACAACGACAAATGTCATATGTCAGTATGAAGCAACCCGACAGCTATCCGATCCTGATTTAACCTACTACCACTCGGAAGGTAGCGGCAATAACTTAGTTCTAGGCACTTAATTCGTCACCTTCCTCAGCCCTTCAAATTCCCAGCACGATGAAATAAAACTAGCACTTCAACCCAAGTCCGATCTCGCCATCATTCCCAGGGTCGAAAGCGAAGAGGGGGTGGAAACGCTCGTCTCGTAAAAAAAGGCGGGTAAGTTAGTTCCCCCCTCTAGCACTGCAGAGATCCGGTCTGGGTGATCGACGTGGCACTGCCAGCCTAGCAATCCACCAATGAACAGGTCCAAGAGCAGGTAAGGCACAGGAGCACGGGCGAACGCACAGGTAAAGGTACCACGCCTCCCCGACCAGCAAGCCAAGCCCATTAATCATTGCACCACCATCTTTCTCCTCTGCTTTGCCCCTCATTTTCCTAAAACCTGATAAGCCCACCGGCACACGCGCGCGCCACCGAGGGGCGAAAAAGAGAGTCAATCAGGTTTAGTTTCCCCCTTTCGTGCCAAGATCTTCCGAGTGGCTACAATGCCCATCAAGGGGAAGGAGAGGGGGGGTGGAGGAGTGAGAAAGTGAGGATTGTTACTAAATGCTGAAGAGGAGGGGGGGAAGGTCCGGTAAGACAGGTTCAGTGATGATGATAATGATGACAGGTGACACGGGTCTGTCCCATCCCTGTTGTATCTGAAACATCGATATCGGCGATGACGGGAACTGCCTGTGCATCCATCCATCCCTCGCCTCTAATCGATTTATTATTATCTATTATGTCCTTTGTTTCTTTCCTTTCCCCTCCTTCCGTCGGGTTCTTATCAATGGGAAAGCGGGGTTTTGATAAGTAAATGTGCAGTCTAAGTGGGATGGCTTCGGGGCTAAAGAGAAGAGGGGAGGATAGAGAGAGGGAAAAAGAAGGGCGCGTGCACGGATGTGTGTGTGCTATCTGGACTAGCTGACTGGCTGACAGGACTAGTAGTGGTTTCGATTCTCTTAGTCTGCCTGTGCTACCCGCTGAGAGATGGAGTACAAAGCAGGTACCTGCGTTGCAAGAGAGGGGTGTACCTGGTAAGGTATTGTTAAGGTATATACTACTTAGTACTTTATTGTTCTTTGAACATATACTCTCCCCCGGATAATAGTCACAGTAGGAGTAACCTACCCTCCAATATACTTGACAACTATACACAGTTAAAAAGGTGACAGGAAAAATAAAAACACAAAAAAATAAGAATAGCAACAAGTTTCCCACATAAACGCTTACGTAGAAGACCATCAGATCACGGCGGGTCCTGATCCAAAATGCTGACGTCTTACATTATGTGATTCTTTTCTCCGGCGGCAAAACACTTCCCTCCCTATACAGCACACTAACAGAGTACATCCATTATAGCGCAGGTAAGTACAACTACTTACCTTTCTTCCTTTTATCCGTCCTCCGTAAGTCAATATGTATAGCTGCTTTACCCTTTCCGCCGAAGATATCTTAACGTCTCCTCTCCCGAACACATAGACGAACATACAGACTAATATTAGCACATTATGTATCACTAGTAGTAACCAACAGACCAGGATCTTATACCGAACCTCAAACCCAAACCCAAACCTAACCTTAGTAGTTAGTTAATACATATAGAATGTATGACTCACATACATTTACCCAGCTAACCAACCAACCAACAATCTTACTTTATCGATAACCCAGTACACAACTACTACTTTGTACTAGTAGTAAGTACTATCTAGTAGTCAGTGCGTATCTAGGCACACATACATACACACATACTTACGTAGTGGCAAAAAAGCAAATCCCTCTCTAAAGGTAGTATATATTAGTAAGAAAACCCTAAACCGTGACAGAATATCCTCCGATTAAGTGAAGTCCAGCAATTACCAAATAACCAAATCAATCAAGACATACATATGCTTGCCTCGTAGTAGTAAGTAAGTAACTGAGTGAGTAGGCTGCTCAATAAAAGAAAATAAGGAAGAGAAGATGTGAGAAAGCTAAATAAGTGAGGCGAGATAAATATGATTGGTTCAGGATGGATGTTGCACAGTGAGTAATACTACCCTCATGCTTACTATTTTGTTTTGAAGATGGAATGGGGGCAGAAAGGATAAGGCAAGCCAGGGGGGGATGGGCGCAGGTAGGTTGGTGTCAGCTGATGGTTATGATGCATGTATGCATGTATGTATGTGTATGTGTATGTGTATGCGTATGTGTATGCGTATGTGTGTTTGTAGTGCAGTGGTCAATGTGTACCTGATGGATATGTACTGTGTCTTTTCTATTTTCACATGGGAAATGGGTCTGTTGTACTACTTCTTGTTTCTTGCTTGCTTTGACTGTGTGCGTGAGGCGATTTGATGTCTGCGCATGCATATGTGTTCGATGTGGATGTCGTAGGGGTATATTATGGCGTCAATTGTATTTAGTTGGTGGCTATTTAGTATGATACATGTTGCTCCATCTTATTCACGCCTGTCTATCCAGTACATTGGCAATAGAACTGACCATAACGGCTGCTTCCCGTTCCCAGCTCCTCTCCAATCCTGAGTCGACCCCCAGTCGCTTCTCAGTCCCGAGAATTGACGAGGGGAGCTGCGAGCCCCGCAGAACGCAGTCCTTGACTTCCCTCTTGATACGGTCCCGGTTGGAGCGCAGTGTCCGGGCGGAGACGCCACCGCGGTTGATAATTTCCTGCACACGAGCCGCGAGGTACGATGCGAGTGATCGCCAGAAGTAGGATGGGAGGGAAGACGTGTCGAGAGCGTTGAGGAGCGGTTGCAACAGGTTGTTCTTGCCGGTGGCTTGGGCTTGCGGTTCCGGCTGTTCCCCGTTGCGGGTGCCAGCTGCAGCTGCAGGTGCTGTTGGGGGGAAGAGTGGATGCGACGGTGGTCGCAGGTTGCTGAGAATAGCTTCCAGGGCAAAAATATCCTGGCAGCGTGCAGACAGGTCGGAGAGAGTGCGCTCGAGAGTGGGCAACATAGACAGCGCCCGGGTGAGGTTACTCAGGGACGAGGAGATAGCCGTTTGCATGTATCCTTGCAGGGTTGAGAGGAGCAAGTCTGGCTGGAAGGTTGCTGCGGAGGTGACATTCTTGGGGACCGGCGATAATAGATACAAGATGTTGACGGCAGAGACGAGGCGTGCTCTGGCATCGCGCGCCTGTTTGTAGCTCATTTGTGACTGGGAGCCGGAGCCTGCGCTTGCAATAGTCGACATGGTAAATCGGCCGATGGCTTGCTGTGCTCTCGTCTTGACCATGTTCTCGGCGGGGATGACAAGCTCACTGCGCAGTGTTCGGATGACCTTGACGCGGTCTAGTCCATGGCCTTCCTCGCCTACTGCCGTCTCAGAGAACATTCGACGTAGACTTACAATCGTGGAGGCGGCCCGTTCCAGCGTCCGGTAGTCATCCTTTGCAGGCGCCGTGGCATCAAGGCCCCCGATCTCTGCGAGCTGGCTCTCCAGCTGTCTGCCTAGTGAAAGACAGCGTGCAACCGCTCGTGCGAGTCGTACAGTGGCCAACGACTTCTCTGCAGCCACCCTGGCCTCGTCGGCAGCTTCCCATTTGCGGAGAACTTCCCTTTCCAGCCGCTCATATCCCTGCGTTACCGAAGCAATCTGCTCTTCGGCTTCTTTGAGGATACGGCCCGCTGCGGCGGTCTGGTCGCGCGTGTGCGTCAGTAGGGGGAGGGCAGACTTAGTGGTCAGCGCATGAATGTGGGTGTCGATCTCCTGAAGATCGAATAACACCCGTGAAAGCGGGGTTGAAAGGTCCAGCGGTGTGTCTGTTGCATTGTTGGTGGCTACAACCAAGGTATTGGCAAACGAGGCGGGTGAGAATTCCGGGTCTAGGAAGGCCTCGTAGTCTATGTATGAGGGTTCACCGTCCGCCATGGCTTGTGGCGGCTGATTGGAAGGCAATCAGGAGAGCAGACAGGTTGAAAAAAAGGAAGAGGGAGGAGAAAAAGAAGCAGCGAAATTAGAGAATATGGAACTGAAACTCAAAAAAAAAGAGAGGCTTGGGTATCACCGTATCGAACAAAGCAGATGGATTACAGGCCAGCCGTGTGGTTTACCCCAGGTGGCTGCTTGACCGCAGCACAATCAAAGCTTAATGTGGCAGAGACTCCCATGTGATAGAGAGGACAGAATGGGGGACGCTGCTCCAACTAGCCATCGTTCAGCTCGAATGCTCGTGAAGACAACCAGCAGCAGTTGTTTGTTCGGGATGCCATGTGTCGCCTAGTGCATTAGTCAGCTGGCATAAGATGGTGTATATTTCCAGGCACATTCTGCCAGGTCAGTCTATTCTGACAATGGTTTACAACACATTGCATTCAGATTGGATGCTCGAATATTAACCGATGACAACTTCATCGTCTATTGACTAATATTCTCCTACCACATTCCATCAATCTTAGCCGTATTTGCTCTTTAGACCCATAGTAGACCCACATAATACACACGAGTCAATCACTACATGTAAACGAAATGTCAGTAACACTCACATGGCCATACAACGATCTCGCTGTTTTCGTGATAATAATTTTCTGGATTATGTAGCATTAAACAGCAGCCCAATTCATCAATCAAGGCAAGATGGCCGAGTTGGTCCAAGGCGTCAGGTTAAGGTCCACCTTAATACCCAGCTTCACAGCTTCCTGATCATCGTAAGATGGCGTGGGTTCGAATCCCACTCTTGTCATATCTTTTTGCATTTTCTCCACCCCTTGCGGGTAGCGAGGATTCATCTTCTGTTTTTGCCTTACTTTCTTTGATTCACTTCTACTGTGCCTTTATCTACCGACCCGTTCAGTTCCCCTTTCACTTCTATTAGGGTAAGGTGACACGGGGAAGCATGTACTATAAGTTAGAAAATTGGCGCGAGGGATATTTCATACTCAAAGCAGCAGAGACAGGAATTATATAGAAGAATGCGAACTATGGACACTTTTGCTAGCAGATAACTCGTCCCTTATTGCAGGACCCTTCCGTTAGTCTCTTCAACGATCAACTCGTACTCGGGCTGGAATTCGGTATAGAAGTTGTGCTGTATACGGTCAGCCATCCACCCATTTATCACAATTGAGAAGGGTAACTCACATGATTCTGCGCAACATCAGCAGTATACTTCGCTACCTCATTCGAGATGATTCTCTTCGGAACACCATTCGCGGCCGCAGCTTCAGCCAGCAACTGTGTGTGGCAGGCATTGTCCAAGGAGAAGTAGAGGAAGGCCGCCTCGTCGACAGTTCGGCCCACGGTGAGAAGACTATTCTCTTCCGTTAGTACATGATATACTTGATATTATATTATGCATCGGACTCACCCATGGTTCTGCAAAATGCAAGCAATGTTGTCCTTGCCTAGGGCACGGGCAATCTGCTCTCCCTCCTCCTGCGCAAGGGCAATGCCGCCGTGGTCTTCATAGACACCGACCTTTCCGTAGAGATTGCATGCATCTATACATACCAGATTAGACAATCAGTCCATATCCCTAGTAGGCAACCGGTATTTCTACTAACCCTGAGTAAGCATCTCAATCGGCTTTCCAAACGCACTCCACGTCTTCCCATAAATTGAATGCGTATGCGCCGCAGCAATAACATCCGGCCGGGCCTTGTGAATCTCCGAGTGGATCATGAATCCGGCCTCGTTGATAGGTAGCTGAGCACCGCCCTCGGTGACATATCCCTCTGCATCAACAAGGACGAGATCCGATGCCTTGATGGTGGAGAAGTGCTTGGCGAAGGGGTTCATCCAGAAGTGGTCCTTTAGAATAGGGTCTGCAGCATATTCCGTCAATAACTGTTGAGTCGAAGCCCAGCGATTACATGGTGTTATGAAGAAATGCTTACTCACCTCTCATAGAAATATGCCCCGACACACCCTCCCCATATCCTTTCTTGCCAAAGAATCGGAATGCAGCAGCCATATGCTCCTTCATCCACTGCCGCTTAGCAGCAGGATCACTAAAGGTCGGAATACCTCGTAGCTTGAGCGTTCCGGCACGGTTTCCCCGTGCGACGGACTGGAAGTCCTTGTCGTTGGCGGCATCTTCGATGTGAGTTTTGCTGGTGGTGTTGTTGTCGGCCGCTACGACGACGGGGACGGGGTTAGTGGTGGTTTCGGTGACGGTAGCGGACATGGTTACTACTAGTAGTGTAGCTTTATTTTCTCTGGTCTTTGATTTAATTGCTGAAAGAAGATGTCCTGGGGAGAAGAGGGGAAGATGAGTTGGCGGAGACAAAAGTATGAATAAATGTTGTATGAGGGGCACGCTAAATATCTACAGTCTTCATCCTTCAGGCTTATCGCAGCCCCGGAATTGCATGTCAAGTAAGATGATAGGCGCACTGCGCCGAAGTGACGGGGGCTCTGATAGCCTGATAAGAGCTGTGCCCCGGGCCGGGGTCACCGTGCGCCTTCCGGGGACATGTTCCATCCAAGTTGTTATAGTGCACTTATCCGGATGCTAGTACCCGGATGAATATCACTCTTTTCTTGGTGATGTAAAGTATAATAATCAGGTATTTGGCCTTAATTAGAGGCTGGAAGTCTGTGATGTTCATCTCATGCGTTTCTGGGGTGTGAATTATCGCCCATTGCATGTTGCGAGCAAGTTGTTCAACCACGGCACTGTATGTTGCTTAGATCAAATGTGAATATCGTTAACAGACTACTACTACTACTAGGTACGGTGATGTGACCAGTGCGTGAATAGACCAGTAACGCTAGTATGATGGAAGTGGGACAGTCTGCTGACCTTCAACGAAATGGATACTAACTCCGGTTAGATATGTTGCTTAGCAAGATTTGCTAGTACTAAGTACTGGTTCACTTTCAAGATTGGCAGTTTATACTTTCCATATAGATATGTTCATCGTTTATAGATATATATGTTCCTTTCTATGACTTTTAAATTATGTCGTCTGTGATCACTTCTGTTGTAGGATAATTAATTATTTGTTTATCTACATCGATAAATGTTAGGAACAATGGAAAACGTTCATAGACTCTTTCTTGACTATACTCTATGGTCCTTGTTCTAATGCCGCGCTATGTACTAAAGTAGTACATCTGGATATAGACAACGCCAGTGCCTTCTAAATCCTTTTGATCGCCACAGCAGGATGAATATATATTTCACAAAGTAAGAATTCAAAATCAACACATCAAGGATCACAATATGAAAAGAAGTAATTGGCATCAATCCAATCCAACAACGCCACCAATGCAGGTACCAGCCAGCTAGGGTATACATGAGAAAGGAATAAGAGCAAACGTGAAAAAGACCATAGCCACATCCAGTGATAGTCTCACGTACTCAAGGTCAATAAAGGCGATAATAGGGTGATAAGGTCATGACATAGAAAGGGAAAAAGAAGCAAAAAAAGGAAATCTATACTGCCGCGTCACCCTTCATTTCCACCATCTCATACTCATCCCCGCCACTGCTACTATCGCGCAAGCCTCGTCCCCTTCCTCTACCCCTCGACAGTGAGAATGACTCCTCACCGCCAGCACCGCTTTGCGCCTCACCACCGCCTGAAGCTCCAGCAGATATACCACCACCACTGCTACTACCTCCGCCAATACCACCAAAACTGATAGGCTGCAGTTCCCGCCAACGACAGGCCCAAATGCCCAAGAATGTCATGAACGCGGCACTCGCACCCTGCAGGCCCCACCAGAGCCAATTCGCGGGCACGGAATGCGTGTACAAGGTTGTAGCGATGAGGTGGAGGAAGTGTAGGGTTAGGGCGAAGTCGGGGATAAGCTTGGACCGAGCGACGAGAAGAAGGAGGAATATAACCCTTTAATGTAGACTTCTTGTTAGAACTTGTGCCTTGGGCCGTGAAAATGGAAGCTAAAGAACTTACCCAATCCCACTAGTCAACAACCACACCAAGCCAAGCATCCATCCAATGGTAGTATCGCCGCGGAGGGCATTCCAACTGAAGACAAGGTCGAGGGAGAAGGGCGTGCCGTAGACGACCGTTGTAAAGAGGATGAGAGCCGTGGCGGTGACATAGTAGGCGACTTGAAGGAGGAGGATCTTCCGGACAATCTTCAGTGGTGGAAGGTCAGTTCGAGAGCCCGCTCGAGGGGCCCGGCGGCGTGGGGGCATGAATTGTGTATTTTAATGTGAATAGGCGATTAGATTAGGTTGGATGTGTTGGAGGGCCCCCGAACTGCGGTGGTCGGGGAGTGTGCAGTGTGCGTGACCGCAAACTTATCGAACTGGATGGGTGTTTTGCGAGACGTCAGGTCTGGTTGATGCGTCCCTGAATAACGCCAATCCGGAAGGAAATATTCCAGGGCAAAACTCCTCAGGTTGTATGACGTGGTGCTGCAGAGCTGATTGATCGATAAATATCCAGAGCGCCGTTCGGCGATGTTGGAGCCAACTTGACCGGACGGGTTAGCGCCACATGACCGGCGTCCGCGGCGGCGGAGCGGAGCAACCAATGCATCATCTCAATTATTGTCGTTGAATATCCGGACAATCTAGAATCCACATTCTACTCCTCACACACTCTCTACACAACCACATACATTCAACCACAATGGGCTGGCTTCCCTGGTCCTCCGACTCTTCCAACACCGCCTCCGACGGTGGCCGCATAGCTCCCGATCGAACCTCCCGCCAACGATGCTACGAGGGCCGCGACATGTTCTTTTCCTGCCTCGACCGGAATGATATCTTAGATGCAATCAAGGATGACAAGGAGGCGCGTCGGAAGTGTGGAAAGGAGATTGCAGAGTTTGAGACGGCTTGCTCGAGGGCGTGGGTATGTGTTTCTTGCCTTGTTCATTGCGAGCTTTGGTTTTCGCTTATTGCTGGGGCTCGCTGCGGCATGAGATAAGAAATTCCTGATTGTTTCATCTCTTAGTTTTGAAACTTGAAGCTAATCGTATACTGTGGATTGACAGGTCAAATATTTCAAGGAGAAGCGCGTGATGGAGTATAACCGGGACAAGACAATTGAGCGGATTAAGAAGGAGGATGCGGCCCAGGTTCAAGAATTGAAAGCACAGGGGTGGAACTCCCGGTAAAGAGGACGGAAAAAAAATTGGATAACTGAGGTGATATATTGTGATCGGGGAAGTGATGGTGCCCATTGAGGGCTTTCTACCTGTACGATATTGATGTACGCTTACCAGGCTTCTAATGACTGCCGGACCGCATGCTACTAGATATTCTCCACTATAGGCTGGAACTGTGGCTTATTAGAATTACGGTGTGCTTGCATTGTGTCCGCCATGCTAGTCACAATATGCCTAGGGTCTCACAAGAATCCGTGGATAAGAATAGATACAAAAGCTCCGCAAAGAATCCCAACATCGCTCATCGATGTCTAATTCCATACATCAAAACCAACCGAACCATTGCACCCCTATAACGTGTATTCGCTGATTCGACCGAGTGCGCAAGAAAAATCAACCCAACAACCGAACCTTCATAACCTTTATCAGCGGTAACGTTCCATATCCGATTCTCAATCGATCAATCAGTCAACGCCCGACTCCTTAAATGTCGCCAACGACTGCGAAGCCAGAGAGAAAGAGGAAGAGAGGAAAGAGAAAAGAGAGAGGGTAAACAAGGAATGTCATCAATCATTGCTTCCATTTGCCCAGTTGGTTCATGATGTTCTGCACCTGGGGACCAACGGCTGCCTGGTTTTGAGGCTGCTGGCCTCCGAGTCCCTTGGCAAGCAACGAAATTAAGTTGGGATCGGATACCAAAGGAGCATTGGGCGCCTGCAGAGGAAAGGGCTGTGGAGGCAGTGGCTGTTGCGGGTTAGCAGCAACAGGCTGGCGAGTGGCAGCGTTCAGCAGGCTAGCGAGGTCTGCTGCGCCATGCGGCGTGCTGGCACTAGGAAACGGCTGCTGCGCCGTTGGCACAGCGGGCGGCCGTTGCTGGAGCACTCCCAACAGCGACTGTAGCGTGGGCGCGTCAAGGGAGGTAATCAGGTTGGCAATACTGGGCTGATTGGCGACGGTGGGCAGCGGTGCCTGAGGAGGCACTGTTGCGGCCGGAGCAGGAAGCGGGGGAATCCCAAATGCCGGGTTCGGAGGGAAAGGCGCCGGGGGAGCGCCACGCTGCATCGACTGGGCATGGAACACAATCTCGGCGGCGATACTGGGCTCGACATCAGGGTACTCTGGTAGAGACATCGTCAGCGAACCACAATCCATGCAGGCTTACTGGGGATACGGGCGACTCACCGTTGGAGCGAACGTTGTCTGGCCCTCCGCTTCGGTCAAACACCTGCAGGGGGATTTTCCTAGAGAACTGACTCGGGCGTGAAAGCCTCACTACCGCAAGGACGCCCTCCTGGATCTGTCGTTGAACAGCAGCGTTCAGGGGGATTCGGGGTCCAAGGACAAGCACATCCACCCGGAGACCCCGGTTACGGAAAGAGTTCTCCACAAAGAAAATGAAGTTGCTGATCACGGCGTTATTAGACATTGCATGGATAATCCACAGAGAAGCGGAACAAGACAAGAACCACTCACCGATCCAATTCCTCGAGCACAAGGATCTGCACTTCCGGTACGTCTCTTGGAGCTCGCCGAGGAACGGGCAGGTCTGCATCGCTTTCGTAAGACCCACGACCCCGTGGGCTTGGGCTGCGATACCTGCGATCCCTCGTGTATGGTGACCGAGAACGCCGCCTTTCACGTCGATCGTACCGCTCTGGAGTCCTATCTCGAGACCGGTACCCATCCCTAGCGCGGAAAGCACGAGGAGACGGCGAGCGAGGCGGAGGGGGTGGTCGATAGTCGTCACGTCTACGGTGGCCGGGCTCATCCCTAAAATCGCTGAATGGCACGCGCCCCGATTCGTACGGACGATCGTAACGATCAGCCGGGGCTCTCGTACTGCGGCTTCCGGAAGGACCACTCCGGCTGAATTCTGGAGACCTCGAGCGCCTGGGAGGAGCACGAGAAGGTTCTGCCGGGGCGGCCCCGGGTCTTGTACTCCTCTGTGGCTTCGAGATTTCAAGATCTGGTGCAACACAGATGAGTCTCAAGTGAGGACATCCATTGTCGAGTGGGTATACTTACGGACTTTGCGTCCTCTAACAACGGCTCCTTGCTCAGCGTCGAGAGCCTGTTTACAGGCAGACGATTCAAGAAACTGGATAAATCCATAGGCTTGCTTGATGGATATCTGAGCCAACTTTCCAAATTTGTGGAATATGTGGAATAAGTCACGCTTCGTCACTCTTTCGGTGGGCAGATTACCTGCACCTCGGTCAGATCACTGTCTAAACCCTTGACTCCATACGCAGCAAGAAGTACTAACCGACAAACAATCTAGAACCCGGCGGAAACCGGTCCCAAAGACCTTCAGTTACGTAGATCCTTTCATCATGCAGAAACTCATCGTACTTCTTCTGCACCTCGGGGCCCCATGGTGTGTCTTCATCGGAACCCTTGTTCTGCCGGGCCACTACCCGTTCACTTCCAGCCTTTCTGTTATTCACTGGTCCTGGGGAACCCTGAGACTCGGAAGTAGTAGATGTAGACTGTTGGAAACTCGGCACGGGGGGAGGGGGCAAAGCGCTGGCACCCGAGGACGTCCCCGGTGCGCCAGCCGCAGCCAATGATGGGAGGCCCAGATTGGACTGATAATTACTCTGCTGGGCGGTGTAGGTGGAGGAGGGGGAGGATTGTGCATTGGAAGTATTAGGGGGGAGCTGGTGATATGACCGGATGTCATCACTGGCATTGTAGTTGGGATGGATAGAGGGCTTCTCCTGGGGAGGGGGGCGAGGGGGAAGTCCCAGGGAAGATTGGAGCGCCTCGTCATCCGTTCCTGCCTGGGGAAGGGCAGAAACGTCTGCTGACAAAGGCGCCGTCTCTGAGACCGCAGGGGCAGAGGGCGCAGTGGAAGAAGGGGGTAGATTATCGAGGAGGTTCTGGAAATCGACACCATCCTCACCAGTGTTATCATCAGCTTTGCTCTGGGGCTCTAGGCGAGTTTGCGGCGCGGGCTGGGCGGTCCAGCTGGCGACTGCGTGGTCTACCTCGCTCGCACTGGGGGTGTCTTGAGCGGCATGGGAGGAAGAGGGAGGGACATCGGGGGGAGGAGGAGCTAGGAGGGAGGCGGGATCTGATGGAGGAAGAG